TAATCCAAATCACCGCCACTTTCCGTAACTGCTGATTGTTTTCCGAAACGTTTTCTTTTTTTAACTGGGGCACACAGCCACTGGTCTCAATTCATCCTATCTATGAAAATCAACTTGGAGCGACATCAAAGTCTCTGCAGATAATCAATTAATCATTTTGCCTTTATCGCAGGATTTTAACCGGTGAAAGTGAACATCTGAAAACACTTGTTGTTCAGAAAAAGTTGTTCAGACTCTAAATAAGGCTATTACTCCCGCTTCTCCGCATTTATGTACTTCTAAACTTATGCAGTTTTTGACCAGTAATACTGAAAATGTATTGGTAGCCATTACAGGCTTCTCCCAAACCTTCACACGTTCTTTTTAGATTTCCTTCATGGGTTTTGTATTTATGTGTGTAAAACAAATAAATGATTGAATAAACAAACACTAGCAGGATTAGGTGACAAAACACAGTAGACTTCAATAAGGAAGGGCTGTGATCTGCATTAATTCGCTGATCCGTTAAAATATGCCCGATACTTAAGATCGACTTTATAACATCTGGATGTCATATCATTTAAGCCAGAACGCATCAGGACTTCCTCTGTTGTCTTTCTGTTAATGTTTGTTATCAGTGTATCAAGAGTATCAGAGAGGACAAAGCAGGAAGCTGCCACTGACAGAAACCTGAGGGTGGTCCGATGCTCCTGGCCCGACCTTTTTCACACCGCAGTTGGAGCACCGCTCTGGCCTATTGGCAAATCAAACATGTGCACATACCAGGTAAAATGCCTCACAGTGTGTAGCTTGTAACATGGTGCTGGTTTACCTCAGAGTCATTAAAATGAAGCAGCAGCAGCTGTAACATTCTGCCTTAAAGGGCTTTATAAACCACAGTGTGACGACTTGGCGTTCCTAACCCTGATAAAGCTTCACACGGTTCTGGAGTTTTGAGGCAAAAATACCAAAACAGATACTTGAGCGGCTAAAACTCTTCAGAATATACTGTACCACGTTTATTGTTTTTGCCTTTCAGTCCATCCTCCACTTTGGTCCAAACTGAAACATCTCAAAACTATCGGACGGATTGTCATGATCTTTTGGACACTGATGTTCCCCTCAGAATGAATCCTACCGACTTTTGTGACCCTCAGACTTTTCATGTCAACATTTTAACGTGTCCAACACTTTAGGACCACCTACCTGCAGAACTAATGACTTTCCGATCATAGTGCTAGTTAGCAAATGTTGGCACGCTAAAATAAAACGACGCTGGAGACTTCGTACCTGCTCATTAGCATGTTAGTGTTGTCACTGTGAGAGTGTCAGCGTTTCTCCAGTCCTCCAAAGGCAGCTGTTTACTTGCAAAAGGCTAAATGGTCAATTTATGACCAAAAATAAAGCCGTGTGCTGGTTGATTTAACTCGTCAAAGCTCATGCTTCCCCTACAGTTGATCAACACAGCTCATTAGGGATGGGGATCGTTAATTTTTATTGATAATGATACCTTTTATTGAGACTGCTTAATGATCCGATTCTTTATCGATACCACTGTTGATACTTCACTATTATTTGGTGACAGTTATTTGTTAAGACCAGACGCAAAGGGCAAGAGGAAAATATTCAATGAGCGATAACATTGTTATAAATGGAGATGACAAATGACTTTGGATAAATAAACATATATTGAAGTGTGCATATTAGCTGCTTGGTTGTTTTTAAATGAATTATAGGATTAGAATTTAATAAAACTAAATTTTTCTAGAACCGGGTCTCGATCCCCATCCCTACAACTCATTGATTTCCTCTTCTGACTTCTTTTCCCACCGCAATTTGAAAGCTCCTCTGTCCAGTGTGGTCATCAATTACAAAAAGCCATAAGGTTACAGCTGTGTGTTCGCCAGAAACCTCACAGCCTTTGAGAATCTGCCAAGATCTGATTTAGTTGGAGTCCACTGAAGCTCGGTCTGGGCAGGTTTAACCAGAGACATCAGCTGCTCCAACATCTGCCCCGCTGACTTGGCAGGAGCATCATTGACACAAAGTATGGAACTGTTTTCTTAATGAGGTAACAGCACACAGGAAATCTGGATCACATGGTTCCTCAGTTGGTCTGAGATCATCAGATCCAGCCTGTGATTTACACTCTTTCCTGTCTCACTCTGTCCTGTGAAGAATGAAATGCACAAAGATAATTAGATATTCCCACCAGATATTAGACATCTGCAATGACGGACGAGCTACTGAGGAGTGTCACCATTTAATTCTAGGCCATTATCACTTGCTATAGAATATAAAATACAACTTTATTTTCCACCAGAGTGGAAAACTGTCCCCAAAGCAGCATAAAATAGAACACCAAATACTTAAGAAGTAGATTTGTGACTCACTTTTTTGTGTGAAAATTCTTCTTTTTACTGTTACTTTGACAGAAAGAGCAGCCAATTTAAAGTGGTTGATAATTCACGTGATCAAATCTGTCAAACACAATTTACAAGAGTACCTTTTATAATGCGGGGGGGGGAATCCCAGCTGACATCGGACAGGTCACCAGTCCATCACAGGGCCACACAGAGACAAACAACCACTCACACTCTCATTCACACCTAAGGACAACAATTTTGGAGACACCAATTCACCTAGCCGGCATGTTTGGACGGTGGGAGGAAGCCGGAGAACCCGGAGAGAACCCACAACATGCAAACTCCACACAGAAAGGCCGGGGCAACCGGGGTTCGAACCCACAGCCTTCTTGCCGTGAGGCGACAGTGCTTCTCACTGCACCACCGTGCCGCCCGTCTCATTAATAATTCAATATTTAATTCAATCGTCCTGAAAAAGCCATAAGACATAAAGCTCGTTATGATAATAGTAGTTGCGTATGTTAATGAATCTAATTTCCACGTCACGGCTGAGTTACGGCTGTGTGTCAGTTGCCTGATCAGAAAAATATTGGACCTCATTCAAAAGGGTTGCTAGGACACGGATAAATTTAATCACTGTGTCGACCCTTTCCCTGCACTGGAGAATCAGTATTTCTACTGAAGTACTTGACTTAAAATGTTGCTGACATGGATTTATTTCATCACTGGAGTAATAAGATAATCACTGGAAAATTTATTTTTGCAGCAGTGTGGGGCAAAGAAAATAACTGAAACCATTTACATCCTGTAAAACAGACTGTTAAAGCTGGTGCAGAACACACGACCTTCAGCGTCGGCCGATGGCCGTGCCGTTCACACAACTTGCTGTCATGTGACGGGAGTCTTGAAGTCGTTGTGGCGTTCGCACTACGTGACTGATGGGTGACAGGGTCACACACTACAGGAGCTGATAGAAGCTCTGTCACTCGACGCTGGACTCCAAACCAAGTTTTGTCAAGAAAACACGAGAAACAGGAAATGAGGCGAACCTACACATGAAACAGCTGTTTGTTATTATAAAGACAAAGAATCCTTGTGAAAGGATGGATTAACACCTGCAGGTAGCAGGGATCATCTGAGCTACAGAGAGAGCTGGAGGGGAGGAAAAAGTGTTTTGCAGTGAAGAAGTAGCTGCCTGCTGTCATTGGCTGGATGTGGAAGTCGAGTCGGCCGACGACTCCAGATATTTGGAACGCCAGATATCTGGCTGGTGTCTGCGATGTGTCAGAAATGTGTCGGGGAGCCGTTTTGACACGTGATGAAGAAACATTTAGAAAATCTGTTACAAGTGTGCTGATCATGCTAATATACCATGCTTGTGCGGATACAAAAAAAAAGATTTGCGGTGGTGCTGTCTTGACAAACTCGAGGATGATTTCGCTCCACATGTTTGTGCTGCTTCAAGTGTTTCACTGCACGGAGCCCACAGAGCACTGCTTTGCTGTGTATCTGTCTAAAATACAAACTTTAGATTTTCAGCCGCAGCTTGTTCTTCAGAGAACCTCACAGAGAAAAGTACAATTTAGGAAAATGCTACAAATGGATTTCATGTCAGAATCGAGTTTATTGCCAAATAGGTTTTCAATCAAGAAATTCACCTTGGCTTTTTGGTTCATAACAGTAAACACAGTAATAGAAAATAAAAAGCAAGAACTGCAAAAGTAGACAAATAATATGCACTTATGTGTTTTTAAATAGAAGAGCAGCACAGTTTGTGCAGAAAGTTTGTACAAAGGCTTGTGGGAGTCTAAGCAGGCAAACAAACCCATCAAGGAGCAGGCAAGAATCAGATGCCCAATAAACAGGCAGTCCAACCCGGTCTAGTATTCTGACCATTCAAAGCGCTTTACGCTACACGTCACATTCACCTGTTCAGAGGCTGGCATGCAACTGCTCCTCAGAAAGGAACTAACGTTAATCACGCACCCAAGAACGGCCACCGGGAGCAAATGGGGGTTCGGTATCTTTCCCGAGGACACTTTGACATGCAGACTGGAGATGGACCTGCTGATCTTCTGATTAGAGAGTGACCCTCTTTACCTCCTGAGCCGCAGCAGTAATGCAGAGGGTTGGGAATGAGAGTATGTGGCCGTTCAGTCAGAACGACCAACACAATACATTCACTTATTTTCTGCAGAATTTCCTCAGAACTTGAAGCTGATTTCCCTCAAATGCTCCTCCAGAAACAGTATATTTACTTTTCTCCAGAAATTCCTCAGAACACAAACCTCTGTAGCCAATTCCGAACTCGTTCCAACAAATATTCCCTTTACACACAGTGTCTGCCCAGTGTGTGTGTGTGTGTGTGTGTTAATATGAAGTTAGGAAGAACATAAACCTAGTGATGGATTTACGTTCTTCCTAACTTCATATTAACACATTTACGTTCAGTTGGTGCAACCCAGACCTGAAGCTGAAGAGAATTGAGTTAAACCTAAATGTCCTTAAATGCTTTTTCTTATGAAAAGATAAAACCCCTCAGGGGCTCTGGTCTAAAGCATCAAGACAACCAGAAACAGCTGCTTTGCTTTTTCGATTCCTCTGAAATGTGTCTCATGTCACAAACAAGGATTCGAGTTCATCTTCCTCTCCCTCAGCACGTGGTGGGAGGAGGAGTCTGGCGGCTGGTCCTACCCATCCTCCTCTTCATCCTCCAGATACGAGCCTGCAGCCCCTTACATGACCGTGAGACTTGTTTGGGTGCAGAGGGAGCAGATGCAGCAGCAGCAGCTCTGTAAGTGACTTTGAACGTCTCCTTACTTGTGTGCAGTGATGGAAAATGTGCAGTCTGCAGTTTGATTTGGCTCACTCGCCTTAGATCTGCAGAGTAGAGGTACTGTTTAAAAATTCAGGTGTCATTAATGTGAGGATTTTTAGTTTTTATAGATGTATGTCTTCGACAGGAACCAGTGGAGCCACAAACTCTGCAGGGAATCAGAAAGTACAGAGAGTTGGACTAACTTAACGTGTTGTTGTTGTGTGGTTTGAATATGGAATAACACCAGACCGATCCTTTATGTGAGTGAAGTAACTAATAACTGAAGGGAGCAGCCCCCCTCGGCCTTATGCAGATGGGTACTGTTTTAGTTTGGCTGGTCCAGAGGCCCAAAGCAACAAGCTGAACGTTATTAAAATGTGCTTAGGGCCATTTTTGTTGCTCACTGTTAATAGAACATGTAGATTGATGCAGCTTTAACTGCAAGATCTGTTGTTAAAAAAACGTTTTGGAGGTGTTAAAAATTAAAATGAGAATTTGGTTTTCTTGCAGATCTTTTGCTGCCTGCTCTTAGATCATATGTAGCACATTTGATTACAGCTTAATTGTTTTTGAGTTGGTCTATAGCAGAGGTTGTCAAATTGGGAGGTGGACCTCTCCCACTGTGTTACAGATCACATTTGTGTGATTTGGTTAAAGATAGAGTTCAGTGAGAGAGTTTTTCCCACTATCAGTCACAAATTAATAAATGCCTGAGGGTTTGGTAGTCTGAAGTAATGTTAAACAGCATTTTTAGGCTATATTGACTCAACTGTTCTGGAATTTATGAAAACTAAGCGCTCTAACTAAGGTCTGTGAGGAGATGCCTTTTTCGTAGCCTTATCTGAGGGGAGGCCCGCAGTATCAGAATCTTTTCCATAGTTTTGTCATTAATAGTCTGGAAATCTTTATAAAAAAACATGCCGCTTGGCTCTGTGTAGCTTGAATGTCTTGACACAACAGCCACGACTGAAGTTCGACTAGAGCTAAAGGAGCATCTGTATCCTGTTCAAAGTTTTCCCAAACAGAAAGTGTAACGCTCCAATAGGAAATGAGAATATGCCTGTGCTATTAATATCTCCATATATTTATATATATATGTATATTCGTGGGGAACAGAGCTTTCTGTTACACAGCCAGTATTTGCAGTCAGATGAAGATCCAAATAAACCACTGCATGCTGAAATGGCTTTACTGTCAACAACTCTCTTCACCTGCAGGTTCTTCAGGTGTGAGGAACATGAACCATTTTACATCTATTTAATCTAATCTGAGAACTAACTCCCTTATACACCTGACTGAGTAGGAAATGCTAAATATGTTTGACTGATATTCAGGTGCATCTCAAATTTAAATATCATGCAAAAGTTTTTCTGTCAATTTCTTCAGAAAGGAAATGTGAAAACGTAGATTCATTACACAAGAGAAACATTTTTCAGTCCTTTTTTCAGTTTGAGTCTTGATGAATACGGCTTACGGAAATCCAAACTCCAGTATTTTAAAATGTATTAGAATTTTAAGATAATAATACAGAAACGTCGAGCTGAGAAGAGCTCTGATTAGCTAATTAACTCAGAACATCTGCAAAGGCTTGAGCTTTTAATCTCTGTCTCTGTCTTTTCTGTGATATTCCAATGTTTTAGATGCACCTGTACTATCGGTCCCTTCTAAAGAGCTGGTTTATCAATGCCAACAAATCCTTGGGAGTTTATTACATTCATATTTGTATTGTGTGTGTGCACGTGCTCTTGTCTCCTTGTGTGCAATAATGATGTGAAAACCAGTAGAATACTTTGGAGGTGAAGACCCTTTCTAACAAGGGCAGAGCTTTTTAAAACACTGATCATTAATCAGAGAAAGAGCTACTGTGATTGGTGCAGTGTGGCATGTTGGACTTTTTGAACCAGGGACATGAAACAGGACACACCAGCACCACCCGCATCATACTTAGCGTGATCAAGACTACTGCACAATATTTATAACAATAGCTTTAGTGAAACAGATGTAAAACAGAACAAGGAGAGTGTTGTTCTCAGGAGGAGGAGGCAGCTAGAAGGAGCACATATTGGCACAATGGCATCCTGACTCTAAAACTACATCTGCCCACTGCAGAGGCTCCATCCACATCCTGGAGGAGGAACTAGTATAAATCAGTGTTTTAGTATAATATTACAACATTTAATAAAAGTATGATGTTCATTAAATAGTATATTGTTTAATAGGACTGTGCAATTAATTGTTTTAAGCGCGATTTCAATATTCGTGTCAAACTATTACAAAAACAAGTTAATGGAGATCCAACGATTATTGTGCTGCATGCTGTTCTGCAATGACACTCGTTTTGTCTTGTGTTAGAAATCCAGCGCACCCTTTCTTTCACAGCGGCTCCTCCTTTAAAGCCCAAACTCCCTCTCATCCAGGCTGGTGCATGTTTAGTTCAGCTCGAGCCAACATGACGGGGTTATAACTGCTACAACTTGCTATTCACCATTATTATCTGAAGCCTACAGCATTTTTACAGCACTAACAAATGACATATTATTTATACTTCTACTAAACCAGGTGTGTTAAGTGTTCCTGTACCTGGTCTGTGCTTGTAAAATATCCACTCTAAGGTATCACACACAGCGAATTTCAGCGTTGTATAACGTAACGAGTTGTAGTCAGCGTGAGTGGTTCACCGGTCACCTTTCATGAGCTATTTGGGATTTTGGCATAATATATAATCATTTTTAGAAATGAAGCTTAGAAGTTGTCCTGAGGTGATCATTAGTCATGTTAAATAATCATGATCTCGATTAGGACCCAAAAAACATGATTAGGATTTTTGCCATAATGGAGCAGCCCAACTGCTTAATAATAATACATTATTGTATAACGTTACTATAGTCACTATAATTTCATATAATAGTACAGAATGTACAGTAGTTTAGCACTAGTGTAACATGAATTCCAGTTACAGCAGTTTCTTGTTTGTGGGATGTTTTCATTCATTAAAACAAACTGCGGATAAAAGAAAAATCCTGTACATGGTGGTTAGTCTCTGATTTGTTCATGTTGAGCTCTAACTCGTCAATAATTAGAACCACTCATGCAGACCAATGTGCTCGTAAATAGTTTTTCACGTTTACTTTGCACATATTCTGCATGCGCGTAATCCATGTTTCCATTACTGATGGCAGCGTTATGCTCAGCAACTCGGGGCGAGATTGTGTTTTGTTTGGCATGTACATATAAATGACATGTAGAAGGAAAATGAATGAATTACTTACGTCATATAAACACACATAAAAAGTACATGGTGAAGCAGCGTTTTGTTTCTTATGCAGCATATACAGTTGAAACCAGAAGTTTACATGCACTATATAAAAAGACACACATGCTTTTTTTTCCCTCACTGTCTGACATGAAATCACACAATCACTTTTCCTGGTTTAGGTCCGTTAGATCACCAAAATTATTTATATTTGCTAAATGCCAGAATAATGAGAGATGGATTTATGGGTTACCATAACCAATGGTCAGTATGGCCAAACAGTTGGATTTTAGTTTCGTCAGACCACAGGACATGTCTCCAAAAATTAAGGTCTTTGTGTGCATTTGCAAACTGTAATCCGGCTTTTTTTTGTTTCTTTTGGAGTAATGGCTTCTTCCTGGCAGAGTGGCCTTTTAGCCCATGTCAGTACAGTATTAGTTTCACTGTGGATACTGACACACTCTTACCAGCTTTAGCCAGCATCTTCACAAGGTCTTTTGTTTTTGGGCTGAGATGCACATTTCGAACCAAAGCACACAGAACCCGTCTCCTTCCTGAGCGGTATGATGGCTGGACATTCCCATGGTGTTTATACTTGCTTATAATTGTTTGAACAGATGAACGTGGCACCTTCAGGTATCTGGAAATTGTCCACAATTCTCTTCCTGATATCTTATATCTTCTTTTGACTTTCCCACAATGTTACACAAAGAAGCAGTGTGTTTCAGGTGTGCCTTAAACATCCACAGGTGTTTCTCTAATTAACTCAAATGTTGTCACTAAATCAGAAGCTTCCAAAGACATGACGTCATCATCCGGGCTTGTTTAAAGGCATAGTACTCTTAGTGTATGTAAACTTCTGACTTTGACAAAAGTAATGAAAAATAGTTTAAATAAATCCTTCTCTCATTATTCTGGCATTTAGCAAATATAAATAATTTTGGTAATCTAACGGACCCAAACCAGGAAAACAGTGAGGGGGAAAAAGCATGTGTGTCTTTTTATATAGTGTATGTAAACGTTTCAACTGTATATCTGAAAATTTAAGACTGCACTGCAACTTTTACTCTTGTTTTATCCTGTTTTTATTTTACTCTTTAAAAAATATATTTAAATGTCTTTTTATATTGCCCAATGTTGATTTTATGTTTTGAAAATGTGTAGAAAGTCTGTCTAAAGATATTTAGCATATCCCGGACTCTCATACTGCAGCACTCTCTCTCTTTGTAAAGAGACAAACTGACAGGATAAAGTCTCTAACCTGCCTGTCAGTTCGCTCTGGGCCGTTTCACTTACCGTAAAGACTTGAATACGTGTGCACTCCCAATGTAGGTGTGGCTAGCTTAATTGCCTTCTCGCAAACGAGTGACAGAAAAGGGCCGTTAACGTTACTGTAGTTACCTCAAAAGAAGAGTGGTTGTGTCCAGTTGAATGCCAAAGTATGCGAGCTTACAGTAGCACCACTCGGTTACTTACTTTTGCAGTGTTTGCTTTCAACAGCTGACAGGCCACAAAGTTATAAACTGCAAAACTGAATAGAGAGTAGAAGTCATTGACGTATTTTTTTAACTTAAGTGGGAGAACCCACTGAGATAAAATCTCTTTTTCAAGAGAGACCTGGCCAAGAAACACACTCATACCACAATATAAAACATATATTTTACATATGTGCACACGTGACAACATTTCCCAGGACACCTAATATTAAGAAACCAACCCATAAAAAGCATCGATACTCCTCCTTTAAGCACATCTGCAACCCTTGACTTGAACTAGACCAACTAGCACCTCTAACTTCTTTGGCAAGGTAATGTTAAGGGTTTGGTAACTACTGTCCACAAAGTTAAGGAGGTTAATCAGTTAACTGTTTAGTTTGCCCGGGATTGCCTTGTTAGTAAACGCATTCAAATGTAACTGTCTCTGTGTGGCTTGTGAAGATCATTGCACCATTTCATGTACACTGTGGACGATTTGGTATTTAAGATAAAGCATGATAGGCAGCATCTAGTTTACTAAATGGAGATGATGCTGCATGTACAGCAGTCGATCACGATGAAAAGGTGGCTTAGAAAAAGTTTCCTCCAAGCCTCAACGGCAAAACAAGCAAAACAAACTAATTTATCGTCCATCCATATGGATTCTCTAAAATCTGAGAGGGAGCTCTGGTGAGAGTCATGATTTTGTTTTTTTTTAGCGTTTATAACTTTTACATGGAGACATGCGGTGATTTAAATACAACCTGGAGCTCATCAACCACCCGAACCGGAGAGAAGGCATGTGTGTAGATGACTGTGTCACATAAAGATGCATCTTCACTGGAAATGAAATTTCTCATTCCGCATTTCTTTCATCGGCCTTTCTGAACTTACAGACAAATCAGGAGAGTTCATTAGAATAAGGGCCACTTAGGAGTGACTTTCCTTCTGTGGCTGTGGCTCAGGAGGTAGAGCGGGTTGGCTGTTGATCTGCCTGGTTTCGTGTCCTTGGGCAAGATACTGAACCCCAATTGTATGAATGAGTGTGTGAATGTTAGTTTCTGTTTGAGCACTTAGGCTCAGTGTATGAATGTGTGTGACTGGTGAATGCAGATGTAGTGTAAAAGCGCTTTGAGTGGTCGAAAAGACTAGAAAGGCGCTATACGGATGCATGATTCTTAGTTATCTTACTTTTAATTTATGTTGTGAGTGCTACAGCTGAAGATAATTTTCCAGGGTGGACAGTAAAATATCCAAACTGACTGCTGTTTTATCCGTGCTGCAGGAAGAGAGAAACTCACGAGTCGTCCCACCATGAAGGGAGGAACAAGTCTTCTGTTCTGCCTCGTCATAGCAGCGTGTTCCTGTGGCATCGCTGCTCAGACGGCAGGTGGGTGTTTTTAAATGGAACATGTGAAGTTGTGTTTTTATAGTGACGGTCCGGTACAGTACATGCTTTCTATTCATGTGGTTTACTTTGCAAGAACCCTCAATGACCTCCATGGTGGCGTAAGTCACAACTGCTGAAACTGGAGCAATGAAGAGCTACCAGTTAGTTAATGTTTCATTAGTTCATCCCAGTCTGTGACACTCTGACCTGTAGTGTTTTCCTGAGTCCTGAGTACCTATTTTGGGGGCATGCAATGCTGATCTTATTCTTCCCTGGTCTAGAGTGTGAAAATGCCACGGTGGCTGACATCGTCTTCCTGGTGGACGGCTCCTCCAGCATCGACCAGTCAAGCTTTCAAGAGGTCCGGATTTTTCTCCGCAACATCATCAGGGCCCTCGACGTCGGCCCCAACAAAGTTCGGATCGGCGTGGCTCAGTACAGTGATGACCCTCACCAGGAGTTCCTGCTGAAGGATCACAAGGACAAGAAATCCCTGCTGGCCGCGGTGGATAACATTCCCCACCGAACGGGAGGCACAGAAACCGGCAAGGGCATCGACTTCCTCCTGACGCGGTACTTCACCAAAGAGGCGGGAAGCCGAGCCAGCCAGCGGGTGCCCCAGATCGCTGTGGTCATCACAGATGGGGAATCCGCAGATGATGTGAAAGCGCCCGCCCAGCGCCTGAGGCAGAACGGAGTCATTGTGTTTGGCATCGGGGTGGGACAAGCCAACCGGGAGGAGCTCGAGTCCATCGCCAACCGGCCTTCACACCTCTTCCTGTTCGCCATCGATAGCTACCAGGCTATACAGAGGCTGACAGACAGTCTGCTGCGAACTGTATGTGTCTCTGTGGCGGCTGAGAGGCAAGGTAAGGCAGAGGATTGAAGGATTTGTGAATTTTGCAAAAAATAAATCTGCCAAACATGAAATGCCCAAAAACAGAGAGAATCTTTGGCTGCTAATAAGGTTTGAGATCGCACTGGGTTTGTTTGATTGAATCCTAACCAGTAATTGATTGTTCCATCCTGCCTCTAACCCTTAGACCATAAAATATGTTCGGTGTTTCCCCTAAGTTTGTTTCCTTTTGTGTCATCTGAAAATATTTTTTAATATCAATTCATATCACATTTATAAATGCCTACATTTAATTTTTAGATCATTGACCAATAACCAGGCCGCTGAACGGCGGCAATGTCTGGTGTCAAATTTTTATATGGCAGCGGCGTTCATCATTTAGCAGCAGTGCTGCGCCGTTGTTGAGTGCATGTAGGGGAAACGCTGCTGTTCTGAAGGGCACTTCTGTGGTCATTTTGTGAGTGTGTGGTAATAAAAAGTGTTTTTGTTTGTGTCTTTTTTCAGCTTTGTCAGAAAAGTTTGCAGATATCTTCTTCCTGGTGGACAGTGGCATTGCTCAAGGTCCGTTCACACAGTTCAGGAGTGATCTTATCAAACAGATCGATAAACTTAAGCCTGGAGCGTCCACCAACCGCATCGGTTTGGCCCAGTACGGTAAAGACATCAAGATCGATTTCGGTCTCAGTACTTATAAAACTAAACAGGAGATCGTGACTGGTTTCAGACGTTTCCGCCTGCGCTCACAACCCAACCAACCACGTAACCTGGGTAATGCTATGACGTCTGCCAAAACTTTTTTCACCAGGGAGGCGGGGGGCCGTGCACACCAAGGCTTCCAACAGTTCCTGGTGGTCGTAAGTGGAAAAGACTCAGATGATCCTGTGTCTAAGGCGGCTGATGTGATTGAATCAGAAGGGATAATTATTGTTGGGGTCGATGCAGGTGCAACAATGGATGTAATAGAGCGTTTTGCAAGCGTTGGGTATGTGTTTTCTTCCATCGGAGATCTTCTTAAAGAAGATATCTTCTTGACTGAGAAAGCGGAGAACGTTACTGAAGGTGAGAAACGTCATCCATCATTCTTTTGGGCACTTGCCCACCTCACCAGTTGGGTTTAATTTTTTCAGTTATTGCCACAGTAAATCTGCTTTACAGGCAGTGATGAAAAGAACGACATTCTCAGTTCTAACAAATGTATTCAGACTCTTATTACATTTTGAAATAAACTTATTAAATACTGTTGAAAGTGTTAATTAGACCCATTAGACACTTTTAGACCCATAAGCAAGTTCACTTCTCACAAAGAAAGGCAGTTACATAATAAGTAATCCCGTGTATATATATTTAATCTTCATATATATATTTGAATATTTAAGTGGCAGATGCCAGTTAACTAATCACACTTTTTTCACAGATTGCAAAGGAGCCAATGTGGCAGACATCGTTTTCATCGTTGATGAGTCGGGAAGCATTGGCACCGAAAACTTCCGGCTGGTCCGCTCTTTCCTTCACTCGATTGTGAGCGGCCTGACTGTCGGTCCGGCTAGAGTTCGAGTGGGCATTGTTACGTACAGTGACAAGCCCACGGCACACGTCTATCTAAAAACGTTCAATGACAAGAGAGATATCCTGCGGTTCATCAAGATCCTGCCTTACAGTGGAGGTGGTACAAACACCGGCGCTGCCCTAAACTTCACCCGAGAAGAAGTCTTCATTGCGAAAAGGGGAAGCAGAGTGGATGTGCAGCAGGTGGCTATTGTGATCACCGACGGTAGATCCCAGGATTCTGTGAGCGAAGCGGCAATCGCTCTCCGCCGGGCTGGTGTCACCATTTACGCTATAGGAATCGAAAATGCCGACGAGGCCGAACTGTTGGAGATGGCGTCTCACCCGCCTCATCAGCATATCTTTAATGAGAACAGTTTCACCAAGCTGAATCCCCTGAAGCAGAGACTTCAGAAAACTCTGTGCAGTAACATCATTCACCAAGCAGTCACAGTTGGTACAAGCAGAACAGATGTCAAAGAAGGTAAGATCCAGTGTTTTAAACATGCAAATGAATTGAATGTAGAGTAATGATGAGAATGGGAAATGTTTTCATTCCATGAACAAACAGTGAAAGCCAGAAATTCCTGGATAGTTTTTTTTATATTTATAATATATATAATGTCCCATTGAGACACAGTCTCTTTTACAGGGGAGTCCAGTAAATATTATATATATATGCATAGCCTGTCCCTCCCGACCTTGTACCCGTTGCCTCTAGCGGTTCTTTAAATCTAGCCTTTACTCAGTGTTTGAATGTTCATTTAGCACATACCCTTTCTTTGAGTATGTGAAAAAACTAACTCTTACAGTTTTCCTCTACAGCGTGTGAACAATTGGATGAAGCAGACATCTTCTTCTTGATGGACGACTCAGGAAGCATTGGTAACATAGACTTTAAAGACATGATCAATTTCATCATCGACTTTGTTGGTTCCTTCCGTATCGGGCCGCAACATGTCCGCATTGGGCTTGTGAAATACGCAGACTTCCCAACTTTGGAATTTGACCTGACAACCTACTCAGATGCTGAAAAAATGAAGGAAGCCGTGAAGGGTATTCCGCACAAAGGAGGTGGGACAGAGACAGGAAGAGCGCTGTCGTCTATGGGTCAGTACTTTGAAAGCGCAAAGGCCGCTCGTCCTAAAGTCCCAAAGTACCTGATTGTCATCACCGATGGAAATTCCACCGATCCGGTGAAGACTCCTGCAGACAAATTGAGGGAACAGGGCATCCGCATCTATGCCATTGGGGTGAAAGCTGCATATGAGCCTCAGCTGGTAGAGATTGCCGGCGACCAACAGAAGACTTTCAAAGTCGGTAGTTTTGATGCTCTGAAGAACCTCAAAAATGCAATTATCAGAGAAATCTGTTCTCCCGAGGGTAAGTCAAGTAAACTTAACTGGACTTTTAAAATGCATTTCTATTACATGGAGAGCTGAAGTTAAACCAGAACCCTCTTTTAAATCACATTGACATTTGTAATATATATAAATACTAAAAATGCAGCAGCAATAACAGCATATTGTATGTTTGACCTTATTTGGATGAGAATGGCAAGAAACTGCTACTATAATAGTTTTTTAAAAATATTTCTGCTTTTGGCATATTTTATGCCATCTCCTGTATGCTCTAGCGCCATAGCAGGTTAAATTTCAGCAGCTAAACGGAGGAGGCCTCTAAAGGAGGACTGTGGCTGTGATATTGCTTTAATAATAGCAGGATAGAGGGGACCAAACAGTGTAGAGTAATGTTCGTAAGAGAGTGTTGGTAAAAATCATGAATAAATAATTATTGAGGCGTGAAAACAGTATATGTGAGTTTGAGCATCCAGCCAATGGCAAGGCTGTTTTGTCTTTGTTAATGCTTCTTGGGAGAGGTCTAAGGCAGGATTCCAGTTCATGTACAAGGAGATGCCAGCTTGTTAGGTTGATTTTCCTTATCCGACCTGAGGGTTTGAAGGAGCTATAAGCGACATTCACTGCCACTAAATGTTGCACTAGCGATAGAGCTCCAGCATCTCAGACCAGAATCAGTTTTACCTTTCAGAGCATCGTAAAACGCAGAAACAAAATAAAACTCACCAATGAGTTTAGATGTTTAACTAAACCAGACGTTATATCGCTCTCGCTCGCCGCTCCATTAATTAAAAACAGAGAGTATGTGTGTTTGTAAGTGCGGAGTGTCTTAGTGTAGTGTCAGTAATAGCTCAGACTCTGAAGGACCTAAAAATGTATGAAGTCTGAATTCTTTCTATTGTCTTCTATTTTGTGTTCATGAAATGAAGTCCTAAGCCTTGTGTAAGGTGCAAATGTTTTGTTTACGTTGAAACAGTCAGTTCCCCCCTCATTTTAAGTTGCTCTGGGCAAATTCATGGCATCCAATATTACCATCCTTGTGTACATAGATGGTGTGAACCACACATGTTAAGGTGATGTGGTCAGGATGAAAGCATGGAAGTATAGAAATGGATATAAATACAAATAAATGGATTCTTAACCTTGTTAACCCCTGTTATATCAAGAAGGAAAAGTAAGCTTGAACACATTTGCACTTGGCGCTCCTAGCCATAGCTAGACCCTTCAGTTATCTGTGGACTCTGTTTCACTGAGCAAGTGTCTTCTTAATAATGAGAGCAGTTTTAGTTTAGTGTTTTCGACATCAACTAGACAAACACATGCCTTTAAACAAGTAGTCGTTTAAAAACCTCTAAATCTCCATCTAGCTTGTCTAACTGCCTGCAAGCAAGAAAAGGAAGGAGGAACACCATGCTAACATTTCTGTGCTCTGTTCTACAGCTTGCAAAGACGCATCAGGCGACGTCATTTTCTTAACCGACAGCTCTGACAGCATATATCCAAATGAATTCAAGACAATGAAAGAATTCATGATATCTGTCGTCAACAAGTCCGCCGTGGCGCTGGATAAGGTGCACTTTGGTGTCATGCAGTTCAGCAATGACATACAACTGGAGTTTCCCCTCGATCTCTACTACACCAAAGAGGAAATGTTTAAGGCCATCCGTGATATGCAGCAGTTAAGTGAAGGCACGTACATAGGAAAGGGCCTCAGAGAGGTGTCGCAGTATTTTGATGCCAGCAGAGGAGGGCGTCCTAACCTGAAGCAGTGGCTGGTAGTGATAACGGATGGCAGATCCAAAGACGAGGTCAAAGGCCCCGCTGAAGCTCTGAGGGCCAAACAAGTGGTGATCTACTCCATTGGAGTGGGTAAAATTGATAACACTCAGCTGACAGATATCAGCGGTTCATCAGACAGGACGTATGTTAAGAGGGACTTCGACGGGCTAAAGGACATAGAGACCGAGGTGGCCTTGAAGATCTGCGATAGAGGTAAGGGCGTTAAATCCTCCCCAAAAATATTTTAAAACAACCCGAGAATAAATGTATAAAAGCACTGAGGCCTTAGGTTTATCTCTTTTTAAGTCTGCTCTAAATGAGTCTGCAGTTCAAATAAGCATGGATCTTTTCCACCCATTAATATTTTAACCCTTATCTGCACCATTTCTTTTCTTCAACCAGAGTGTAAGAAGACAGAAAAGGCTGACATTATTTTCCTGGTGGATGGGTCAACAAGTATACATAAAACAGATTTTGACAGCATGCGGAAGTTTATGGAGTCAATAGTAAACCAAACCACAGTTGGCAAGAACCTGACACGTTTTGGTGTCATTATGTACGCCACTACAGCAGAGTCTGCTTTTACTTTAAACAACTATGAGTCCAAACAAAAGGTTCTTGAAGCAATAACAAGTCTGAAACAACCAAAAGGAGACACCTACACGGGCGAGGCCTTGGCATACTCACGGAATTTCTTTAACGCTGAGCACGGCGGCCGGAAAGCAGAGAAGGTGCCTCAGATTCTAATGGTGATAACAGACGGGGATGCCACTGATCATCCCAGACTGAAGGATGAATCTGATGCACTGCGAGAAAATAAGGTCACCGTCTTCAGTATTGGAGTGAAAGAAGCAGTCAGGGAGCAGTTGGACATCATGGCTGGTGGCGACACCTCCAAAGTTTTCTACGTGGACAACTTTAAAGCCTTAGAAACTCTGTACAAGAACATGTCTTCTGCCATCTGTAATTCCACTAAGAAAGGTAAGAGTGTGTCATAGTACACTTGTGGTGCTGATAGGCACAGCACAACCGCACGGTGAAGATGTGAAGGTTGATAGTGCCATATGTAACCCACACAGGGCTGGGCGGGATAATAGCATTATAAGGTATACTGATATATATTTTCAAAAGAGATATAAAATTGGACAATACCGTTACAATACAGCAAGTTTTGTTTTTGGCGACTCTATATAACGTAGCCTACTGCTGATCGAGAAAGTCAACAGAGCGGACGTATACAGGGAGACGTATAACTAAACATTTTGACCAGTTTGTAGAAATGACCGTACATATCATGTATCGGAATTCAACCTAAAAATACAGCGGTGATTTTTGGTCCATGTCGCTCAGCCCTAATCCCACATCTTCTTAACTCAGCTTTTGCTATTAATGGGTCAGTTAGTGTAACACACAAAAATACATTTGAGAACATCTCTCATTGGCTTCCCATCAGTTAACACCGCCAATTTAGTTTATTGGAAAACACGACAAACCTGGAGGTACCGCTACTGGTCTCTGTGATGGGTGAGAATTTTGCGCCTGTCCAACTTGATCAGAATTTGTCAATAGCAAGATGGAGACAATGTAAATGTATGGAATTGAGAGAGCGGTGTAGCCAAATATAAATGATGCTATACAGTGATGATTTCACAGTTGTTCAGTAGTAATGTGGACACTTCCCTTTCTCTTGCTTTGCTTTGGCAGTTTGCGAGCAGGCCGACCTGGTCTTTCTAATCGATCGGTCTAGCAGCATCAACGAAGAAAATCACAAAATTGTGTTGAACTTCACGGCAGAAGTAGTGAACAGCTTTAATGTCAGTAAAGACTTTGTGCATGTTGGACTTGCACAGTTCAGCGATGAGCCTCATAAAGAGTTTGACCTCAACACGTACTACAAGAAGGAGGAGATGATGAAAACAATCTTAAATTTGAAGTACACTGGTGGAAACACCCTTATAGGAAAGGCCTTGGTTCACATTAAGGATTACTTCAAGGGCGGCCGTTTTGGGGTCCCCCAGAATCTGGTGGTGATCACAGATGGCGATTCTCAAGATGACGTGGAGGACGTGGCTGAAGAACTCAGGGCTCAGGGGGTGGTGGTGTTTGCCATTGCCATAGGAGACGTCCACGACCTGCAGCTCCTGCAGATGACTGGCGACCCGGAGAGGCTGTTCAATGTGCGGAGCTTCGACGCCTTGGCAAGTATCAAGAGAAAGGTGGTCGATGCCCTTTGCAAATCTGAACAGGAGGATGAGCCCTCTGGTGAGTTGAAAAGTGACTTTATTTCTCTTTCTCTGTATCCCCTTCTTTCCCACCATTTCCCTCTACGTCTGTGACTGCCAAATGTAAAGACAAATGTCCCTTTGCTACAGAATGCACCATTGATATCGCCATGGGATTCGATATCACGACTAGAACTGGTGCTATTGGTGAGATGCTGTTCAGCGGCCACGCCAAGCTCCAGAGCTTCCTGCCCGAGATCGTCCACTACGTCTCCTCGGTAGAAGGCCTGTGCTGCGTGAAGGGACCTGTCAGGACCCAAATTGCCTTCCAAGTGTCAGACCGTGAAGGACGTTCACTGTACGACACAAACTTTGAAGGCTACAGCGAGGAAGTGGTGAAGAAAATCACGACCTTACTGATGTTGAATCCTAGCTACTTTAACACTGCCGTGCTGAAATCCTTCAAGGAGAAGTTCAGGACTGGGTCCACTGCTCGTGTGAAGGTGAGAGTGACGCTGCTTGCAACCCCGCAAAATCCATAGTTCATAATAAAATGATCTTTCTCATCCTGTGGTCACAGTTTACATTCTGCTAGCATGTTAGCATGCTGATGCTACATTTGCTCATTAGGAATAAACAAAAGCTGCTAATCCATCCAATAGTTGTTGAGACGTTTTACTCCAAACCACAAATGTGATCTTCATTGTGGTGCCAGAGCAAAAGTCAGGGGATCATCCAAGTCATTAGGATTCACTCTCTGGGGACCGTGAACATCTGCACAAACTTTTATGACTATCCGTTAAATAGTTGCTGAAATATTTTAATCTGGACAAAGGCGTTGGACCGACTATACGCAGGTCATGACCATGTAAAATGTTTCATTAGATACATACAACAGGACAAAAAGCAGGATGGGATACAAACCACTATGAATCACTGTTATGAGTGGAATAGTTTACAGGCCTGTCAGAATCAAGACTTTCATATTACAATCAATCTAACGTGAATATCCTCATCTGTCAGGTGCTGGTGATGTTCTCAGACGGACTCGATGAGGACGTGATCAGAGTGAAGCAAGAATCAGAGCTGCTGCGACAGTCGGGTAAAAACTGGGAGGCAGAGATGTATATAGTTGAATGAATCCCCTATTCAATAATGTCTTTTTGCATCCCAAACCTCTTTAGCCACTCTGCTCTTTATATTCTTCCCTTATTCTGAATCACCTTTTCTGTCTTTCTGGCCTTTCCCTCTCCTACTTCCTCTCCTGCCTTTACTTGGTAAAAAGCAGAGTTACTCGTCATGTTTAAATATTTTTTACGTAAAGCAGCAGTGATCTGCAAACTTGCGGGCTCAGCCCGGTCCCCACATTACATCTCCTTTCAATCGACGTGTACATACTGTAACTCTTGCAAGTTGCGCTCTTTTATGTATAATTTTTGTTGATATCACAGCAGGATAATAATAATGCTGAGAATCTGCTTGAGACATCCCTTAAATCCACCATAAACCCTTGCATTGCACCGCCTGCCATCCTAATCCAATAACTATTTAAAATTCCACACTTTTCTTTTTTGGAGTGGAGAAAAAACACCTGAGCTCCTCTAAGCCAGCAAACCTACAGTGTGTTGTTTTGTTTTTGTCTGCAGGGGTCAGCGCTCTGTTGACCGTGGCTCTGGAGGGGGCGCGGAACCCCGGCCAGCTGCCAGAGGTGGAGTTTGGCCGAGGGTACGTCTACCTGCTTCCTCTCAGCATCGGCATGCCGAGCATCAGCAACACCATCCTCAAACAGATTGTGAGTCATTCATGTTACTGCAAACCACAGCGACAAACAGCCTAAAAGCCTCAGTCTGCTTCAGCAGCGTAGTTATTAGGACGCTAGATTAGATGTATGAGTAATGCAGCTAGTCATTAGAGGACCACTGAGGCTACATCCACATTACTACCATCGTCCTCACCAGCGTTTTAGCTGTGTATCAGAATTTATCTCCATCAATAGTAAAACATCTAGTGTCTGTTCATACACGTGCTGGTGAACAAAGGAAGCACATTTTTTCGAACCCGCAGCTGCAGAAGATTCACCGATTGCAGTAATACTACTGTAATACTACAGATGAAGAACCACACCGGAGATTTCTTTGCGTGGACCGACGATGATGTAGAACTGTAACTAAGAGTTACACGGGAGTACATTTACTCATTTGGCAGACGCTTTTATCCAAAGCGACTTACATTTGAGGAACAACATACAAGCATCAACAGAGCATCAACTACAGATCTACAACTGACAAAACATACTAGTAAGAGCTCAGAGTACATTTCACATCAATGGGGTAGATACCTAGGGAAGGAAGTAAGAGTTACCAGAAAGTGCAATCAATACAAGATCATTGTAGGGGATAGAAGAAGAAGAGCACAGGACGTGCATGTTAGAGGTTAGGAGTTAGAGGTGTTATAAGAGGAAGTGTTCTCTGAAGAGATGAGTTTTCAAGAGCTTCTTGAAGTTAGAGAGGGACGCCCCTGCTCTGATGGCGTGTGGTAGCTCGTTCCACCATCGTGGTGTCACAGATGAGAACAGGGACTGGGATCGCTTTGTGTGAAGGGATGGCAGAGTCAGGCGGCGTTCGTTGGAGGAGCGTAGCGGCCGTAAAGGAACGTAAGTTTGTATTATGTAGTTTAGGTAGATGGTGCAGACCCAGTAGTCACTCTGTAAGCAGGCATTAGTGACTTGAAATTGATTCTGGAGGCCACGGGGAGCCAGTGGAGGTCACTGAGTAATGGAGTGACATGAGTCCTTTTGGGTTGATCAAAAACCAGACGCGTTGCTGCGTTCTGAACCATTTGTAAGGGTTTCACCGCAGTAGTTGGAAGACCTGCTAGGAGGGCATTGCAATAGAACAAAGCGGCACGACTGAGAGACAGCAGCAACATGGTCTGAAAAGGACAGCTGGTCATCAATCGTGACACCCAAGTTTCTCACCACCCTGGTTGGAGTGATGGTTGCGGAGTCAATTTGTAGTTTGATGTGACAGTCCGTGATCCGCGCCGAGACGGTGGGATCGCCTGGCGGGAAGGATAGGTAGAGTTGCGTGTCGTCTGCGTAGCAGTTGTAAGAGAAGCCGTGCGAGCAAATGATCGGCCCCAGTGAGATGGTGTAGATTGAGAAGAGAAGGGGCCCAAGCACTGAGCCTTGGGGCACCCCTGTGGAGAGGCAGTGAGAGGAGGATAATGGTCCTTGCCACAAAACATTGTAGGAACACCCCGAGAGGTAGGATTCGAACCACAGGAGAAGCCAAACGTGAGTGTCTGCGTCACCGTTTTCAAAGTTGTCCGTTTCTGCCTGTCTGCAGTAATGCCTAAATCCAGAGTTTTAAAACAAAAACTAAGTTGGCAGCGTTTTTAAACTTTACAAACAGAACTTTGAACTCGTGTTAGGTTTTTGGATTCAGTGTTTTAGAGTGGACGGATGGCGGAAATGTGCTGCGCTTTAGAACGAAACGTAGGAGTGTGGATGTAGGCTGAGACTGCCTTCACCTGGTGACTGTCTTATGTTTATGACGTGTTTTGATTTCAATATTTCATAAAATACCTGTTTGTATATAGAAAGAAAAATCTGATTTACATGTTTTATGTTTTTTAAATAAGGAAATTTCTCCTCTGCTCTCTCTCTGCAGGACGCGGTGGCAGATAAGGTGTGCTGCAACGTCTCGTGTAAATGTTCTGGACCCGAAGGCATGCGTGGACTTCCAGGCCAAAAGGGGCCAAAGGTGACTTGAATACTCACCTTTTTAACTTTCCACAGGATATTTAGAACGTTGTGAAAGGGATAAAAAGGAAACATCTCTGTTATTATGGATTATCGTTTTTCATTAGTTTTAACTTTGAACTTGAAATCAAAAGTCAAAACATTTTAGTTTTAATTAGTTTTTAAAGCAGGTTTGCTAGTTTAGTTTTTAGTAGTTTCAGTGTTTTTTTTAGACTTTGGGACACTTTCTCCTGACTTTGACCGCCATGACGCCAGGCGAGTTGCATGGACTAAAACTGGCACAGCTAAGAAACTAGATGATAGATTTTACATCCTCCCAAAACACCAGGCTTATATAGTCCCTGTGACATAAATTGATAAAGGCGTTTTCTGTAAAGTTTCTGCTCGTCCTGATTCTGCTGTTTGTGTTTTATTAACAGGGTTCGCCTGGAGACCCGGGGCAGCCCGGCTTCCCGGGAGACGAGGGGGTCGCTGTAAGTGCTTCTTCAATCAGTTTATCCACACTGTGTTTACTCATTTAGTCTTTTTATGTCAACTTTGGTCGAGATGGGATGAAAGTAAGAGGAATGTTGAAAAAGCTTGGAAGCTATAATATATGTGCATTTGACGTATAACAGTTTAACATAGCACTGTAGCAGCTGGATAGAGGATTAGTGACCTTTGAAGGGGAGAGCAGAGGTTAGTGGTTATGTGGAGACTCAGACCCTTATATGGTGTCTGACAGATGTCTACACATATCCTATAGAACTGTACCCTTATATGGATTGGCAGCATTATTGTTCGGACACCACACTTTCCTCCACATTTCCTTGATATTTGTTAACATGACTGACACGCCAGTGGGACCAAATAGGCAGAACTATGCGGTAACCCAAGTGCCCGTCATGGATGATTTCTAGTCCGCTGCTGAAATCTGTCCCCACATTGCAGGCACACACAGGAAAGAACACGTATATATTTGAGATGTTCAGTATGAAGCAGTGTTAGCTGCACCTGCTGGGTCTCTGCTCACTTTGATTGGTTGTTGCAGGGTGAGCGAGGGCCTCCTGGACCAAATGGACCTCCAGGCATCGATGGCTGTCCCGGAGCCAGAGGACAGAAGGTACAGTCAGTTCAGTAAAAGTACTAATACCAGACTGTTAAAATACTCTGCAAACAAAAGCACTGCATTGAAAATGTATGTGAGTATGATCAGGACGTAAAGCAGTAATATGTTGTACTATTATATCTCCTCTCCTCAGATTCTTCCTCCTCCTCATTAGTGTAAAGCAGGATGTTGCTGCTGTATTTTTGAGCTGCAGCTCATTCTGAACTGTTCAGTTTCAGACTGCAGCTGATGATTCTTTTCATTCTGGATCAATCTGCTGAAAATTCCCTCCTTTGTAAAGAACCGTAGCAGTGACCCAGAGCCCAAAGTGACACCTTCACATAACTCAAAACCATAAGTGTTTCTCCTGCTGTAAATAAAACTTACCATACCATAAAGTTAACAACGTTTAAGTCACCAAAACAGACATTTTCAGATCTGAACTTAACAATTAAACAAAGGAGATTTGTTCATTATTTCACTTTCGGATCAACCGATGACCAGCTGCTCTGTCTTCCTTCATTAATATTGTCTATTATATAGTATAAATTAAAGCTTCTGAGGGTGTTAACAGGCTGCTCCAAGGTGTTTACTGTAGAAATGTGTTTCAAGGCTTCATTTCCTTCCACTGCTGCGGAATAACCAAAGAAAATAAAGACAAAGTTTAAGTCAGCAAAACTGTGGAATAATGTAAATTTTAAAGATTTAACAATTTCAGGGATTAACAACGAGTTAACAGCTTAATGACAAAGTCTTTATGATTAATCGTTAAGTTAAAGTGCTTTCTCTACTGTACTGCAATGGCAATGTTATTAATTTAACTTTTGCTGTAAAGTGTTGAGTCGTCAGTGCCTCAAAAGGCCGGAACAAACATTGTAATAGTCACCTTTTCTTCCTTCAGGTACAGCTTTTAATGTGTTGGTAAACATGCTTTATGTGTATTGGTTTTGCCTTCACGTGAAACAAATCAACTGTATATCAGAAGCCTGTGGTGTATCACGGATTGTTATAAGGACCTTTATGTCTTTTATCCCCCCTCTCATTATTGTTTTGCCACGGGGTAGGTTTTAAAAGGAGAGTGGGAAGTGACGTTTGGCCGGGAACTCTAGAGTGCAACATCCGATCTTTCTTCTGACTGGAGGACATCTGGTTCCATCCGGACAATTTAAGTTATTGGAATGAACATTGGGGGTTTTTGGAGGGTGAATTGAATGTATGTCGGAAATGGTGATAATGTCTGTAATGTTGGTTTGATGTGTCGAAGCGCGGCCGAGCCTCCAGTGACTAATATCTGTGAGTGTTGCCCTCCGTGGTATAACCTGGTATATCTTTAAATACAAGCTGTGAAACCCATCCTATGGACTTTTTCGTTAATATATAATTTTTTTAAGTGTGTACAGGTGCAAGTTAGTTGCTTATCTGGTTTAGGTAGGGCTTGTTCAACGAAGGTAAGCAGGCTGCCGATTTCAATCTCCTAGGCAGGTATCAGATCCGCCCGTAACCTTATCTTTTGCGTATGTACGTTCCCCTTGCTGTTTTAGTGTCAGGCGAATTGTTACAACATAATGAAATGTCAGCTTTTGTGTCTGGGGCTCAATATTGCACCTTTTTTTTTGGTAAATGATGTTAACTTAGCACAAATTAGTTTCTTGTGCACACAGGATATATATGTTGTTTGATGTCTTTCACGGTTTTGGGGTGCTCAGGGAAGATTTTGTTAAACTATGATAAAAACCTTAAAATAAACGGGTGGCTCGGGTAAAATCAAAATAAGCTTTCCGATAAAAATGCGTTTTAAAAAGTGATTTAATAGATGACACTGAATCTGAGAGTCTAATTTCCTCCAGCAGGTCGTTCCAGATCTTTGGGGCCCTGACAACAAAAGCTCTGTCCCCTTTTAATTCTTAATCTGGACATAGGAAGAGACAAAAGACCCCTATCCGGCGATCTGAAATGCTCAGAGCATCACAAGGAGCTAAATAAATAAGCTGGAGCCAAAACATCAGAAGTAGTAATCTAAGATTAGGATACAATCATGGTTTCACTTTAAGGCCACAGTTGTCTGCTGTTCGTAAACATGAGACAAAAAATGTTTATACCAATATTTACCAGTTTTCTGTGAGTCCTGACTGAACAATGTTTAAAATATTAAAGAACATGTCCTCACTGGCCTGTCGGATCTAATCCTATTGTTTGTATCCGCAGGGCTACCGAGGAGTCTCGGGCAACAGGGTGAGTGACTCGGGGCTGCTGGAATGTAAAGTCTAGAGCCAGTTAATCTAAGAAGTGATGTGAAGTGTTGCATTTACTGCAGAGTGTTTGGACAAATACTTAAGTCCACGAAATATTTTAGTTTGGAGTCTTAACATTAACAAAGATGTGACAGTTGCTTCTCATCCGACGCTACAGGGAGAGAACGGAGAAGACGGCCTGGAAGGAATCGACGGCGAGCAGGTACGAATATCAACATCTTGGTAGTTTAAAGAAAGCCATTAGATGATTAATGCTTTAGGCAAGTATCAAATGAAGAACTCTATTGGTGTCGGTATCACTTTAAGGGTACTGGTTATGATACTGGTATTGTTTAGACAAGGATACAAGATGTTTTTGTAAAATAGGGACAGACGGGGGGGCAACAATAATGATTTCTGTTTAGCGAAACTAGAAAAATCAGGAAATGTACAGTAGATGTGTGCTTTTGTTTTTAGTAATGCGCAGGAGGGGGTTTCGGCTTCTCTGTACTGAGGTGTATTTCTGGTTTTGTGTTTGCAGGGAGAGACGGGACTTGATGGAGCTCGAGGAGATAAAGGACACCCAGGAAACCCAGTAATCAAACTTGTTTTTCATTTCCCTGCACGGTGGTATTCGTTTTTTGTCTTTGGGTTGTGGAGAGCAATTTATATTAAAGGATGTTTAACGTTTAATCAGCTCAAGTATGAAGAGCAGCATAGGTTAGAATAAATGATTAAACCGTACAAATGTATTTAATTTATGCTGGTTGACTGACAGGTTGAACTGTCGTCCTCAGGGTATCCCGGGTATCAGAGGGGAGACGGGGCCTAAAGGACAGCGAGGACTGCGAGGAGATCCGGTGAGTCTTTTTTTAATTATTTATTTCACTCCATGTCATCACAGATCCTCCACCGACTCCCTGACCAATCATCATGATCCCTCACCAGCTTCCCACTCACAAACGAAGGCCCTTTTTGCATTGAACGTGACTTTTAGGGAGATTAAATCGCACGTCATTTAAAAGTATGGAGTACCAAAACAAACACAACACACACAGTGCAAACTTGTTAGTATGAATCACTCTTAGGGTCTTTTTCTCATGTGTTCACCTGTGATAAGACGGCCAATCACAACACGCGAGGTCTTATGTGACTATCTGAAGAGCAGATACTCTGGCAGGTCATTGGATAAGAGAGGATTTAATTAGGGTCCGAGCACGAACCGTGTGAGGTCCCTATTGAAACTGTAAAGTGTTTTTTTTTGCAAAGAAGGCTAAATTTTGGGGGCCTAAACATACTCAAACTCACCAAACTTTGCACACATGTCAGAAGTGGTGAAAAATTTCGTATTTTATGGGTTTCACACATGGGCGTTGCCAAAATGCCGGACGGTTGTCGTGCTTTTGGATGCACTAACTGAGGAGAAGACAAGCCTGAGCTGTGTTGGGAGGGTGAGGGATTCCCTGCAAGTTAAACGTAAACATCAGGCTGGTGATCCAAATAAAACTTAACGGCGTCTCTACGAGGGAGTCTGCTGTGAGCCGCTTCTTTGGTCTGTTGTTTTGCCCCCCAGGTCACCGTGCCTGTCATGTGACTGAAAACTATAAATAGTTCACCAAGAACATTTATAATGCAGGCCACAGGATGCACTATGCATCTCAATAGGCTTCAGGTCTGAGCATTTCAGCACCATGAGCAACCTTAAACCATAACAAACAAAACCTGTGACATACGACCACAGAGAGGCCGAGAGCGACGACGGCGTCTCAGTGGAGATGTGATTGAACAATTTAGAGTCAGTTTTCTGTTATACACTGACATAGTTAAAGTCTATAATGGAGTTATTTCAAGATTACTGATCGAACAAAAATCACTGATCACTGCGTGCAGATGTGCGTGTTTTGCCTGTTTATTACTGAGGGACAAACCTGCAGAAGTTACCTGTAGTACTGTAAGCTGCGAATAAGAGTCTTGTGACAGCGAGAAACGTGTGAAGGATGTGCAAGTGGCTAGCCTTGTTGCTTCTGACTGAAATTGATATAAGTTCATCAGTGAGGCTTCCCAGTCTAGCAACATTCTGACAGGCCAAGTCTGAAAACTTGGATGTTGCTGAGAAAGGAGGACACCGAGTCTGCAGTCTTGGCACTTAAAAACAGAAGACGGCTTACGGGCTTACATCCCAGTTCAAAATTCCCACATCCAACGTATCCCATAAACAAACCCTTAAGCTAAAAGCAAAGACGTGCGGATCTCTGCCAAATCCTTTAGAGACTGCGAGAGAAAATCAGCTAATAGACAAACAAATAGAGGGTGGTGAAAACAAAACCTCCTTCCAAATTAGTTTTTGGCAAAGCTCTCCGCATCTCTGCACAATAAGCTGCCATCATGTTTTCAGAAGGACATCAGTAAATATCTGTAATATACACAATATATAGACAACAAGAATCTGTGACTCCTGTTAGACAGCCGTACAGCCAAACACAGCTGGAAGCTCCACTGAACACTTTGTGGAGTTCATCTTTTATGACTTAGTGAGATAAGACTGTGGCTTTGTGTTCTGTCTGACAGGGCGACTCGGGCGCTGATAACACCACTCCGGGAGCCAAAGGAGAACCCGGGAACCCAGGTTTACCGGTAAGTAACATCCCAGGGGGTCTCTGAGGAGGGGGGGGGGGTGTTATGCCAAAGTTTGCATGCGCCTACACATACTGCTTTTAAACGCTATAGTATTCTTTGTGGGGTTCATCAACTTGATAAATGATCAGTACATCTTTTATGAACGTTAAGAATATTTTATTACAATTAGTAAAAGTACCGTTCCTTGAGATTCAGCAAAAACGTGATGACAGCCACGTTTGACAACAATGTGAAAATGACCTTAAGAGGTGGGTGCATAATTCGGAGAAACGGATGATGAAGGCTACCTGCCGAGATTTGCATCCACCTCTGCAATTCTCTGCAGGCATTCAGAATTCAGCACAACACCTGCGCCGCAAACGTCACCACATTAGACCTCTTTCTCTGGCTGCACCACCTTTTGCCTGATGTTTGTTCTAAGCTCACAGTAAGCTCCCGCAGTCCACCGGAGGTCTACCTGGAGGTGTCCAACTTGATGCCGCTCATTTTAGTCGCCGGCAGCCCACGTTAGCGCTGCCCGGCTAAACTAACCCGTATTCTGCTCTGGACCTGCTCAGCCTCTCACAGTCTGGACTCTCAGGTTTCCAGCTGCTCTGCACAGCAGCCTCCAACATGGTTCTGTAGGCACCTAATCTTCCTGTCTTGGCTCACAATCCGATCCCTTCAGTCCTGCAGTATCTAACTCCTCCGTTTCTTAGTCCTGCACTTGGGTCTGCCAGCCTAGCCGTAGCAAAGTTAAAAACGTTTTGGTAACAGTCACTTACTCACCTACGCTATGAGAATAAATAAACGGAGCGCTCTCTCTTTTTCTTCTCTCTCTCTCACGCACACACAGACAGACTTGCTCTGCCCAGCCCTACTTCTATCTATGAAATACTTGGCTGTAGCTCGTGAAATGACAGCCGGCTTATCAACACACGTTTAAACAATCGGCGTAACGGGACCGCTGAGCGCTGCACAATTCAGCAACACGCTGGGTACTGTGGTATTTAGAGCCTTTCCAATGTTCGTAACAGAGGTAAAGTATTGAACTGACGTTTTATTAGAAACGAACCTCTTCATAATCCAAATATCCAAAATACTTCCTGAACCGTCGGCTCCAATAGTCTACAAATCTGCACCCAGGGTTGGGAATTTTAATCTCTACTTTAATAAAGCTTTCAGTCCTACATGAGTCCTAAATCATTTTACTATATTCCTTTTCTTATCACATTGTATTTAAATCCACAGGGTCCACCTGGACCGGACGGACGGCCAGGTGAGGGTGGAATCGAAGGAAACCCGGTGAGATTTCTGATGTCCAGTTTGTGTTATCATACACTGTATAGATGCCTGTGAGCATCTGCAGTATACGGTGTTTACTTTAAGCTTTTGCTTCACTGCATTTCAGGAAACTTGAGGTATTTTATGCTGAGAAAACTTCTGTTGTTGAACTCAAGTAAATTTTGAATGCAGGACTTCAGTATTTTACACTGTTATAACCATTACTTGTTGTTCTCATCTGATTATCCATCAAAGCGCTGTATTATTTGTGCCAATGTAACCACATGACTGGTTTTAACTGCCTGTACAGAGCAATTTAGTCTGAACACACAGGAGTGCTACACGACCTGTCAATAAGTTTCTGAATGACAGCAGGTTCCAGCCCTGTTGGGTTTTTAGGAAGGGGTTGTGGGTGTTTTACACTTTGATCATGCATAGTGTCCTTAATCCTGTCACATCTGAAAGTGTTCACGCCCTACCTAGCCTGTATGTGACTCAGCCAAGCAAAGCAGCATGCAGCGAATAACACATTATTCTGCTGTGCAGGGTCCCAATGGAAGAAGAGGCCCGCCGGGTGAGAAGGTAAGAGAGGAACAACAAAGATCTGGATATCTGTTACACACTAAAATGCTCTGTTTGAACTCTCTGTGTCTTTTTGCAGGGTCTACCTGGACAGGCGGGAGCAATAGGACTTCGGGGCCCCCCGGGTGCTTCTGGCCCACAGGTGAGTGATCACACAACAACATGCAAACATGAAGCCAGATCAACAAATGAAAGGAACAGTCCACCTCGCTCTGATGAAGCTCTCTGTCGCCATGAACTCTCTGTAGAGTTGTGGTTGCCCTTATGTTTGCATCCAACGTCTCATCCAAAAGTTTTCCCACCAGTTTTTTTCCTCTCCTCCATCACTCCATCTTCAGCCGCTTGTCTGGGGTCGAGGGGCGACAGCTCCAGCTTTCCTGAGCCACATTAACCAGCTCTGATGGGGGATCTTGAGGCGCGTTCCCAGGCCACTGTGGGGATATAATCTCTCCACCTAGTCCTGGGTATTTCTCGAGGCCTCCTCCTAGCTGGACGTGCCAGCTTCACCTCCCTAGGGAGTTTTTTACCCTCTTCTGCACTGCATGCTGTATACACGTCTGTTTCTCTTTTATACAGTGCACGAGGGAACTTGAGAACACAAGACAAATGCAAGAATGTGCTGCAGATGCAGAAAAGCTGCACGTCTTAAACTTCAACAAAAGCTACAACTTAGCAGACATTTCCTTCACTGTAAACTGATAGTGCTGATAATTAGGTTAAAGCCAGAGGGTGCACAGCCAATTTACCCCAAATATCAGAACCATGCAATCACATTTATTAGAATAATATAAACATGCAAGCTGGAATTTGAGAATATCACGTATTCGTCAAATCTGCACCGTTTTCTAAATGTGGCCTTACATGTTGTCACATTGTTCAGGATCGCCTCTGAACTCACTTTAACGTCTTCAACTTTGCCCGGTTCAACTGCCGCGGTTTACAAAATAATTAGTTCATGTTATTTTAACATCACATCTGTGACGCAGCACTCTGAATGTGATGGCGTGATGCGGTCACATAACGTTCTTTATGCAAACCTTAGAGGGGCGCAAGTAAAGTCTTTCTGGAGAGAGAACATGTTTAAGATACAATATCTTCTCGACATTCCAGCGAAGAACAGAGCAGATTTCTTGCAAAAGAAAATAAATAAAACATTTCATGACTTTGGCAATTACAATTTTAAGCAAATAAGTACACCTGTCAAAATCAAGGTTATACTGCAGTCCATATATTAGCAGGGAACCCTCAGTGTGGAAGCTCTTAACGTTCAGTCTGATGTTCACATCCACATTTGGGGATCGGTGAAAGAACTGTAGACTATTCAATACTGAGTAACACCCTAACCCCTTTACCCTCATAGTCTTTGCCTTATTTCAAATCCAGTGCAGTATAGAGCCAACAATACAAAGACTGTTGTCCAAATACAGAGTTCAGTGAGTTTTGATTCAGCAAGGAACCTGGGAAAAGGATCCTAAAAGCTCTAAACAGTTGACTTTCTGCCAAACATAAAAATGTTTCTTTTTGAAAACACAGAATTAACAGGCGCATAAAAGGGATGAATGTAAAGAGATGTGGAGCCAGTCAGGTCAGAGGGTGTCAACGTCCCTCCTCTCAGAATGTGGTGATCTGGAAAGGAGGTTTGGCACATTTGGATTTAATGACTTGCTTGGCAGATGGACAGACTTCCAGAGAAATTCAGTGGAGCTATTTAGGAAAATGGAAAGCATGTGTTTCTGTGGGAGTCTTGAATAAGGAGAGGAGGAAAACGTGCAACAGAGATTCCAATGAAAATGAATTACTAAACTTGTTGTATACTGTCCAATTCTCCTCCTGTTACAGTGTCGTTTTCCTCAGAAAAGCCACACAGCGCTGTTCCAAACGTGTTCTGATGTGCCCACAGACATTCAGCTTAAGACATGCTGCTGTTGTGATGTTAGCTATAGGAGCATGAGAGTTTGGAGCTGCTGTGCTGGATCTGGGATTGTGTCATCCTCTCTGCATGTTGGCTTTGCAGCAGCAATAGCCACAGTTTAATTCACAACTTAGCCGACGTTGGCTACGTTACCTGCTGTGTCGTTTTCGCTCCATATCGTGGTATTTGTCCTACCCCCCCTTTGATGGGTTGAATCTGTGAAAGCATTTCTGCACAGCAGACTTGTATCCAATTCTGTCAATTTCATATTTTCATCCTTAAATAGGTTTATTGTTGTTGTGCACCTAGACGGCTTGGTAATAAAGCCATTCTGATCACATGAAATGGAAAATAAACACCAACTATCCGCCCTTTTTATTAGAAAGAGTTCCTTTAATGACCGGTGAGGCTCTAGTGAGCTCTCTAGCTCTCTTGGCACATCCTGGCTGCCATACCTTGATGTGAAGTGATGTTAAGTAATAAAACAAGATCCAAGGAAGGTTAAAATCAAGGGCAACTGAGCTTGGTCAAAGTCCCGTCTATGGTTTAACGAGTATATCTTCAGACATACTGGATATAACAAGACTAAGAGTGCAGACAGAGGTTATACTCATAATAACCTGAACGCGTATGGGCTTACACTGTCCCAAACCTAAAGTTTTTGTTGTCTCTGCAGGGAAGCAGAGGGGAAAACGGTGATCGTGGACCAAAAGGAAACCCTGGCTTTCCTGGACCTCAGGTCGGTACATCTCCATCGTCCTGTTTTATCTGCCTACGGTTAAAAACCCTTTCAGTGAACATATTATAGACACAGACTGAATGTAAACTGGACTCAGGTCGGACGGACAATCTGATTAAACATCTGTAGGGTCTGTAGGTGTAATCAGAGAATGTGATTAGGAAACGCTTTATTTACAGTAACTACACAGGTTATCAGGTGTTGCTGTTTTCATGAACAGATGTGGTAAAATGTGGTAATAATTTCAGGCCAGCAGTCATTAGATATTTTTTCTAACCACAAAACATTTTTCATGTTTTTATTTCACTTGATATTTATTCATCAGCAGTTTCTTTTGGCAGTCTGTTAGTAATTACAGCACTGCAGTTCAGTTTGCTTCACTGACCTTTCTGCACAGAGCTAACATCATTATTTAAGGGCTGAGGGAGTATTAAATACACCGAGGCTCAGTTATCAACTCGTACTCTTATTCATTTTATCACTTTGTGCTTTTGTTACAAGTTCAGCGAGATTTACATTTAGCCATAACTCACCAGTCTAAACTATTTACATCATTAGAATGTGTTAGTAAGTTTAATGACTAAAGTTTGACGAAATAGTCTGTATAGTTTTGGTCACAAGGCCAAAATGTTTATTCCCGTTCTGAATGTTGGGTAGGAAAGTGTTTACTGAGGGAATAAATCAGCTGAGAAGTAGAAACATTTTCTCACAGACTTCTATACAATCACACTTCTTTTCAGACCCGGAGGTTCCTGCTTGGTTGTGACCCGTTTGGTAGTTTCAGATCTGTTCTTCCTGCTTTGACTCTGTTGGTTTTTCCTGCAGGGTGAATCAGGAAAACCTGGAGACCCGGGGTCAGCCGGACGTCGTGGCCCTAACGGACAGAAGGTGTGTGACATCGTTTCCTGTGCCTTTTATCTGTGATTTCACCAACACATCATTTTAAGTCCAGATAATGTGGTTATTATAGTCAGGGACATTATCGCACCTCTGATATTTCTGGTAATTTGGTGGTTGGGTTCTACGTTCTGAGAGTAGACACAAATTGTCTTTAGGCAAACAGGAATGCTTAAATGGTGGATAATCAAAAATATGTCAGGTGTGTGTGATTTCTTAAAATCTTGGCTACAGAGTTGAGTACAGAAAATGTTTAAAATGTCTGTTGTTGTTGAAGGGCCAACCAGGAGATCCGGGTGTTAAGGGTGCTCAAGGACCACAGGGGCCCAGAGGAACGCCGGTAAGGAGCTGAACATCAGAGTTTGTAAATACTGACTGTGTGTATAAACATATAAAATGCAATCGGTGATGCGGTCTGTGCTGTTTCAGGGTCAGGATGGCAGAGACAGTTATGGACCTCCAGGACCCAAAGGTTCCAAGGTAGAGCCGACCTTTAACCTAATGAAGTTCTTTTATCAAATTCCCAGAAATCTGGGGACAGAAAATGTAAACGTGTCCATCTACTACCGCTGCTGCATGAACACGAGCTCATTGACTGATGGAGCTAATTCTCCACTCGCTGCCATTGCAGAAGAAGTCCAGGAAGTGATGTAATTAAAAGACCCCCAGTCTAAGCTAGAACGATGGAGAACATGATAGAATTCAGATCAGTCTTCTTCAACCTTTGTATAAAGACTGTTCTGTAATAACAAAATGAAAAGCAAAGATTATTACTTCTTTCCTTCTTCACAGGGAGATCCGGGTTTTCCTGGTTACCCTGGTCTGCCGGTGAGTCCAACCCCACAGCCAAAACATGACAAAGAAGGAGTCCACACGGTTCAGGCATGAGCGATGACTTCCTGTTTCTGTGCATGTTTGTGTGTTTAGGGTGAGGAAGGTCAGAAGGGAACCAAAGGATATCCAGGACGTGATGGGAACCGAGGTCGAGGGGTCGGTGACAACTTCACCTGTGTTTTTAGTTTTTGTTGATAATTGTGTTTTTGCTTCATCACTCCTTTTTTTTTTTTTGGTCTGATACATCCAGGGGAACTCAGGCAGGCCGGGAGAATCAGGCGGGTCCGGAGAGCCAGGACATCCAGGACACGATGTGAGTGGGAATCAATCAGTCACTTTATCATTTGTCCCACATTCAAAGACAATGTCACACAGACAAACATTAGAATACAAGAACATACAGCAGTAAACCTGTTCACCGGATATCTTACACCGACGCACCACGGGTCGTTCAGCTTATCTGAAGCGACTCACAAATGTCCACCACAACCGCACAAGGTAGCAGATGGTACAAAGCACATGCCATAACTTCATTTTAACAGCCGCTCACCTTCGGCTGCATCTCAGGCAGTTTATCAGCACGAGCTCGGCTTTCCGTTGGTTTCATCTTCTGGGATCATTGAACACTTCTCTGTACATTTTTATTTGCTGTTCACACCACTTGTCACCGATCGATCTCTGCGTGCCATCACGTCAGTTAAAGGCTTTTGTGAGGATGAACTAATGAGGATGAGGAGGATCTGATACAGTTTCCGATTCCTTTTATCCAACAGTTATTTGACACAAGAAAAAATAAAATAGATCACGTTGCTTGTTCATAACAACCGATAAAAATAAATGATAGGCTGCCAGTCAACTACTACGGCTTCAACAGTATGCAAGGTATCGAATAAAGTACTCTATCTGTATCACTTTAAAGGTACTGGTTTTAGTGCTGGTATCGTAAAATTTTAAATGATATCCAACCTTGAGCACCACCCAACGAGATATTGTGTGTTCGTTTTAGTCTTTGCATCTGAGCCACCTCGAGGTCAACACAATGGACAAGCTATAATGTACTACAAATATGTTGCACCACCAATATTTTGTGCTACAAATAGATATATTGCACTACTATAGCACTACAGATAAAATATGTTTGAAATGCCTCGGATAAGGTACATTACAGTTTAACACATTTTTAAACCAATAAGAGCATTATTCCACCTAACATCAATAAGGCGGTTACCTCCTTCTGCTGTTGGCATTGGAGGCTTGAATGGGGACAGGGATGGAGGATTTCTGAAACCTGTTTTTCATGGCAACAGGGACCTTTAAGCTCAGGCCAGACTGTAACGGTGTACGCTCTAGGCACTGTCTGAGCAAATGGCCGTTGCTTTTGTAAGCCCCTGCTTAATGAATTTATAATTCAGACGACTGAACTGAACTCCCTCTATCTTATTGGCCGTGTTAACAAGCCTAGCCGGGGCATTTTTCTCTTTGGTACCAAGGTTGCCACGCCAGCGGCTGGTAGATTCACTGAAAGCTCTGTAGAACAGTGTCATTAGAGTCATGTCAGTATGGTCTTTGGCAAGTTTCCTTATACTAAAAAGGCGTTGTTGTTGTCCCTTTTTGCACAGCAGTTCAGAATTAGAATCGTATTTCAGGCTGTCATTTGGAGTTTAATCTTCATCGTCAGTGAAAATGAAAACCCCACCGCCTTTACTCTCAGAGCAGCGGGAGATGTAACGTAAACAGCTTAGCTGAATATCAGGCTTCTTGTTTCAGCATCAGAAGGCGCCTGACCTGAAATCCCTCTCTGGATAATCCCAGTATTAAATGATATGCCTGAAAATAACCGTCAAGTTCACCAATGCCTCCTTTCCTTCCGTCCAGGGTCCCAGAGGTCCTCCTGGAGGCAAAAGCAAGTCTGTAAGTCCACCTTAAATTCACCTCACCTGCCAACTTCATGAATTCTCTTTACACACAACATCTGTCCTGTTGTCTCAGGATTGCGAGCTGATCACCTACATCAGAGACAACTGCCGTAAGTGTCTCAGGAGACATTTGTTTTTGTTTGTCCTCATGTAGTTAGGTAATCATTTGTTGTATTTTTAAGATACAAAACAAACTTTTGTCAATTTATTCTGGAATGTCAAAGTGAAAACAAATGTGTGCACTGCTCCTGTAACTCTAAATATTATTTTTCTCCTCCACACAGCATGCTGCCACGGTACGTACATCTCTATTTTGTCACTCAGAACAACAGGGTAAGTACAGAAACAAGACTTCAGCTCTAAGGTTTACAGGAGAGAGGCCGAAAGAGTAAAATCATCTTGGGAAAGGTAACTTCTGCACTTCACCAGTTTATTTATAACAATAGAAGTTTAGTCCGTCTCCACAGCCTCCTCCCAAACCCAGCCTGAGTTCAGACCTCCTGGGGGGTGTTCGCAGATCAGCCGCCGCTCCTTTTGCATTGAAGTTGAGGTGATTAGGGCGTCTGATCAGATCCTCCTGGGCGCCTCCTTTTGGAGGTTTTGTCGGCACGTCTAACTGCCAAGAGACCCTGGAGTCGACCCAGAACTCCCTGGAGGGCTTATATACCTCATCTGGAAAAGGAAATCCTCAGGATCCCCCAGGAGGAGCCAGAAGACGGTTGTCCAGCCTGCTGCCCCTGCGACCCAAAACCTCAGAAGATGGACGGATGGATGAACAGTTTATAGTTTATCCATAAACTTACAGACACGTGGGTCTCACTCACGTTGCTCCCTCCTCCATTCAGATCCGATACTTTCAGTAAAGAACCGGAACAGACTACAATGCATTGTAAAGGTCTGCACTAAGATCGCAGGGACGGCCTTCCCCACCTATTTCAGGTCTAGGTTTCCCAGAAAATTCAGGCCGATCCGTGCCACCCTTTGTGCAGGGAATTCCGTTCTGTCGAAGGTACAATGTGCCAAGATGCAGAACCAGTACATTTAAGCACCTTTCCCTGCTGCCTTTGGTTTCTTAAGCAACTCACTGTGATTTATATGGAATGCATTGTTTTATTTTTATTGCATAGGATGGGCGATGGCTGACAGACTTCACGCCTCGTGATTGAAAATTTGAGGGGTTTTTACACATTATACCACCCTGTGAAAGCAGGTTTTAGTGACCATGAACATTCTTGTTATTGTTTTTAAGTATGCTTTGCTTAATTGAAATTGTCTCTAAAGTTTATTCACTTTAAACAACCTGGAAAGTTTGTGTGTCTTCACTGGCCCTGAAATGACACTTCTGTTGGTTCACTGTTCGCGTCTTTCAGTTGACTTTGAATACAACCTCTAAAAATGGTTGTCTGGACACACATTTGTAGTTCTGGTGTTTTGGGTTGTATTTACGGATGTTACTTTATTCTCCACTTTTCTCAACATCATTACCTCCTCTAGGTCGATCAGCCTGCCCGGCCTACCCCACCGAGCTGGTGTTCGCTGTGGACATGTCCGCCGAAGTGTCCCCCGCAGCCTTCGAGAGGCAGCGCGCCGCCCTCCTCTCCCTGCTGGAGGACATCACCATCGCCGAGACCAACTGTCCGACGGGCGCTCGCGTCGCTGTGGTGGCTTACAGCGCCTACACCAAGTACCTGATCCGCTTCCAGGACTACCGGCGCAAGAACCAGCTGATCGAAGCTGTGAAGAACATCGCCCCGGAGAGGACGATCAACAGGCGTAATCTGGGGGCCGCCATGCGCTTCGTGGGTCAGAACCTCTTCAAACGTACACGTTCAGGAGGCAGGCTGAGGAAGGTGGCCGTCTTTTTCTCCACTGGGCCGTCACAGGACGCTTCGGAGATTGTGACCGCCATGATGGAGTACCGGGCCCGCAACATCTTCCCGGCAGTGATCTCTCTGAGGAACGAGCCGGCTGTTAGTCGAGCGATGGCGGTAGGTTTGATTCATCGGTTCACTAGCTGAGGCCCCGAGACTGACCTGTGACCCGTAGCGTGTAATTCAAATATCAAGACTGTGGTCTAGTTTTGCCCTTTAAGATGGTCACTTGATTAGAGAATCACAGAGAAAGACATTCTTACTGTGATGTGGCTGAGAGACATGGCAAACTACGTTGGTCATTTAACTTTGACTAATTTAATCATCTTTATCGACGTGTTTTACACACGCAGCACCCCATTTACAGCTGGAAAATAAAAATGCCATCTATATCCAGACACGTTATCTGATTAAAGGCCAACTCAAATTACTGACGCACAGGTTTTGCTCCAGACAACAGATTTGATCTCAACGAATGCCAGGTGTAAACTGGGGGTGGGGGGAAAAATCGATACAGCATAGTATCGTGATGTTTTCTGTGGTTATATATTATGTTTTTGGTGCTATTATAATAACATCAGTTGCTTTTTCAGTCCATGAGAAAAATAGTTTCTTTTGGGGACACAATTTGAAGTTGGGAAAAAGGAAATAAATTGCAGTATATCGCAGTATGTTTAAAATCACAATAATATTGTATCGTGACATAAATATCTTGATAATATCGTATCGTGGGGCCTCTGCTGATTCCCACCCCTAGTGTAAACTAGGGCGAGCGGAGCAATCTCGCTGCTGGGTGCTTTTCAGAGTTACACAACATTGCCAAGCAAAATCATTTTTGTAGTTTGACCGTGTCTTTTTCACACGTAGCTATATCGTTACCTTCAGGGCACGTCTGTCAACTCAATTTACACCCCGCACGCACACACACAGCGGAGCAGAATGGGCTTCCATTTAACAAAGCTAACACCTGAGCCGGCTCCTGCTAACGTTATGACTAAATTTCCACAGAAAGCAACATGAAAAACAGCTGCAGGTATCCGACACGCTACGCTCGTTAGTTAGTGAGCTTCAAATGAGTCTTAACGTTCAAGCAGTTTCTCTTAAATGTGTCTCAGGATTAGAACGTTTGTCCAACCCCGGCGAGCCTTCTAGCCACATTAGCCGCGCAATATGCTAACGCCAAGTTAGCTTCCAAGTTTTAAGTCAGGTCAGTACAGCCCTTGGCGCTCCGTTCTTGAACCGTTACAGAGCTCGTTACGGTTGTGGAACTTTTGAAGCTCGATTATTTTAATTTAGTGTTGCGGTACTTGCCATGCTCTGCAGTAGGCTTGGCCAAAAGCACGGTATTTCAATTTTGCGGTTATTGCGACAACCCTAGTGTAAACACAAAGGCGAGCTCTGATCCCGTTTAATCCGAAAATAGATTTCAATACCAGGTGCAAATGGGGTGTTATTGATGAGGAAGAAGACGCTAGAGACCAACCTCACTGTTCCGCCTGACAGCTACAAGAGCTCTCTGTGCTCCTATTGCTCAACGTCAAAGTGAAAATGACACAGTACATGAGTTAAAACAAGCAATTGTTGGATTGGCCTGCTGCTCACTTCAGGTTTGGTATTACCGCACGTCACATGTTTGGCCAGTGTTGTTATAATGTTTGTTTCATCAGATTATTAGTGCACATGCTTGTTTGGCCTTTAAAGACATAAATTGATCCCAATTCCCTTTTGCACTTAGCCTCCCTTTTCAGTTAATTAAATCTGCCGTCTGGTGTCAGAAATTTGTCTTCAGCATTAAGAAACTGCAGCTGTGCTTTAAAAGTGTCAGTTAAATCATTATCTTGGAGAGCGAGGCCTAGTAACAAGTATAAGTCTGGAGATGGATCAGTTGTAGTGGCTGCATCTTACCAACACTATTCTCAGCCTCTGGTGAAATATTGTTTTTGGCAAGAGTAATAAAACATTGAGCGATAAATGGTGACGGCTGCTGTTTCACGTCAGGTTGACGACACGGAAAACCACGTCTTCACAGTGCTGGGGCAGGACATGGCTGCTGACCTGAGGAGGGTCAGGATGTGTGCAATCTGTTACGGTACGCATTGAGCCTCGTGCTCGCTTTAACATTTAATATACATCCGTAGTGATATTGTCATAGTTCATTTTTGCATGCTTGGCTTTTGCAGGTTGCACTTACACATAGATTAAAGGGAGGTTAAATTGAAAAGAAGGCTGAACCCAGAGACCCTGCCAAGAATACTCAAGAGCGGCTGCAGATCTTCTCACTATCCCCAGACCTCTCATTGTCATGGTTTAGGGTTGAAATGTTGATACAGAGCTCACAACCAACCCGCTCTTTCTGTCCCTTACGTGTGAGCAAAACCTAAAGATACTTGAACTCCTTCACTTGGGGCAGCGACTTGTTTACGACCTAAAAGGGGGCAACCAGAGTACCATGACCTCAGACCTGGAGGTGCTGACTCTAATCAGAATCTGGTTTATTGCCAAGAACATTTTCACATATGAGGAATTTGCCTTGGTATGAATTGGCGGTTACAGTACACATGAAACATAAGTAGGAATATAAATATATAAAAAGTAAGGAGATCAAAAAAAATGTATGCATAATACTATAATACAATGCTTTCAAGTATGCAGAAGTTCACAACATGAGCACAGTTAAACGTTGTAAAGTGTGAGGTCAGGAGTTTGTGTGTTTGGGGAGGGGGCATGAGAGTCAGTGTCAGTGGGGACCCATGCCTTGTTAATGAGGCTGCAGACGGGAAGAAACTGTTTTTGTGGTGAGAGGTTTTGGTCCTGATGGGCCGCAGCTTCCTGCCAGAGGGGAGAGTCTGAAACAGTTTGTGTGGGTGGGAGGAGTCAGCTGCAATCTTTCCTGCTCGCCTCAGAGTCCTGGAGGCGTACAGGTCCAGAAGAGAAGGAAGATTGCAGCCAATCACCTTCTCCGCAGAGCGAATGATGTGCTGCAGCCTGCCCTTGTCCCTGGCGGTGGCTGCAGCGTACCAGATGGTGATGGAGGAGGTGAGGATGGACTCCATGATGGCGGTGTAGAAGTGCACCATCATTGTCTTTGGCAGGCTGAACTTCTTCAGCTGCCGCAGGAAGTACATCCTCTGCTGGGTCTTCTTGGTGAGGGAGGTGATGTTCAGCTCCCATTTCAGGTCCTGGGAGATGATGGTGCCCAGGAAGCGGAAGGAGTCCACAGTGGTGACTGGGGAGTCACAAAGGATGATGGGGAGGGTGGGGCTGGGCTCTTTCTAAAGTCAACGACCATCTCCACTGTCTTCAGAGCGTTGAGCTGCAGACTGTTCTGGCTGCACCAGGTCACCAGATGGCCGATTTCCCACCTGTAGGCGGACTCGTCCCCACCAGAGATGAGCCCAATGAGGGTGGTGTCATCCGCAAACTTCAGGAGCTTGACGGACTGGTGACTGGAGGTGCAGCTGTTGGTGTACAGGGAGAAGAGAAGGGGGGAAAGAACGCAGCCCTGAGTTGAACCGGTGCTGATGGTCCTGGAATCAGAGACATGTTTTCCCAGCTTCACGTGCTGCTTCCTGTCCGTCAGGAAGTCAGTGATCCACCTGCAGGTGGAGTCAGGCACGTTCAGCTGAGAGAGCTTGTCCTGCAGCAGGGCCGGGATGATGGTGTTAAAAGCAGAGCTAAAATCCACAAACAGGAATCTGGCGCAGGTTCCTGGGGAGTCTAGGTGCTGGAGGATGTAGTGAATGTTTACTTCGTCGTCTACAGACCTGTTGGTTCTGTAGAGGAACTGCAATGGATTTTAGGTGGGACAACACAAGGCGTTCAAAGGATTTCGTAACCACAGAGGTCAGGGCGACGTGTCTGTAGTCGTTTAGTCCAATGGTCCTTGGTTTCTTGGGGACAGGGATGATGGTGAATGCTTTGAAGCAGGCGAGGACATGGGGTCTAATAATGGGGTCTGGATGCTTTCAATGGATAAAGGTTTTGGCAGTAGACATAGTCTAGCTATTAACTTTTTATATTCATATAGGTTTACGTCTGTCACCAGAGCAAATTCCTTGTATGTGTAAACACTAGGGTTGGCACGATACCAGAAATGTAGTTGTCGATAACAACTTATACAGCCTTGCAATGTGCTTAATTCATTCATTCATTTTCTTAACGTTTTTAAGGTTTGTCACTTTCTGTGTTGGCAGTGGTTTGAGATTTCTGTGTTGAAAAACAAAGCTGCTATTGATGATTGAAATGGATCATAATGAAGGTCCCTAACTCCTACTGTAACAGGCGCGTTGGACAGACATCAGTTCTTAGAGCTGCAAACTGCATCGTCATCTTCGGCCATTTTGAGTTGATCAAAACTGTGAAATTTTGGCCTAAAGTAGCTCTCCAACTGCCAACAAATCACAAAACTGGGAGAAGGAAACAGCCGCGAAAACAGCCGAATATTAAATTAACTTCACCCGATTTCTATGCACGACTCTTTCTTTCGAAGATTCGAGTTGGAGCTGTTGTGCAGCTGCACGTCAGTCTTCCACATGTTGGATCCCCGGTACCCTTAAAATAAGTACATGTTTTCAGAAGTATTCCTGCCAACGCTAGTAAAAACTTCTTGGCAATGAAGTAGCTTCTGATCTAATCCCAACCACTACAACTCTGCTTTGCTTTTTGGGAATCAAAGGCTCCACAATGTCTTTTTTTAAATGTTCCTGTGGAGCTCAGAAGTTTGATACCCCTTCACAGTCCTTTGCTTTAAAATGGGTTCTACCACCAGGTGAATCTCTGCTTGTTAACTACCTGACCTCCAGCACAGAGTTGGACAAGACCTTCACCAAAATGTCTGACTCCGAGGTCGGTTGTTGGTTTGGATCCGGAGTTCCTCATAGTTTTAACTACTTAATTTAAACTGAGACCAGGCAGGTAAAGTTTGTTTAACTCAAAGACAGATACCTGAAGTCACATCAGGAGCGATTTCCTAACCAGTTGGTTTCCCGATGATTACTCTCTTGTTTCTTCAGACCCCTGCAAACGTTCAGAGGAGTGCGCCTTCATCGAGGATGTCCCGAGGCCTCAGGAGGTCGACGTGGACCTGGTCATGGTGGTGGACGACTCCAGGGAGATTCAGGCTGATGAGTACGCCGGCGTCCAGCAGCTGCTGGGCTCTGTGGTGGAGCAGCTGGTCGTGAGCCCGCAGCCGCGCAGGGCCGGCAACCGGGCCCGGGTGGCTGTAGTCCAGCAGAGCGGCGGCCGCAATCTCAAGCCGGAGTTTGGCCTGCTGGACTACCAGAACGCCAACGTGATGAAGAGGCAGATCAAGAACATGCAGCAGCAGAGCGGCTCCCCTGCGCTGGGACAGACGCTGGAGTTCTGCCTGCAGGAGGTGCTGCTGAAGGCCACCACGCCCCGGAGGAGGAGGGCGATGCTGACTGTGGTGGGCACCACGACATCTTACAGGGACCGAGCCAAGCTGCGCTACATCTCCAAGAAGGCCAAGTGTGAGGGGGTGGCGCTGTTTGTGGTGACTATCAGTGATCGCTACAACCAGACGCAGGTGGAGGAGCTGGCCAGTCTGCCTGAACAGCAGCACCTGATCCACGTCGGCAGACTGAAGGCCGACGAGCAGGGCTACGCCCAGCGCTTCTTCAGAGTCTTCCTCTCCGCCCTCAACAGTAAGACCAGACTCTAGATTAGATTAGACCAACAGTCTGTCATCAGCTTCCTAAAATGTCCAGAATATCATCCAGCTTTTATTCAGGGGCAGCTTTAAATACATTTTTTTAATTGTTTGTAAAAACAAACAGGAATGCATCTGTCCTGTGTTTATTTCAGAGGGCATAAACACGTATCCTCCTCCTGCAATAACACAGACCTGCAGCCGGCTGACGGAGGAAGAAGTAGATCTCTTAAACGGGTAACTCACACTTTACATCTTTACACCACAAACTTAACATTTTTGGCCCACAAGGCTGAGCAGGAAGAACACAGGTTAACCACGGGGTCTTAAAAGTGTTAAATTTGTCAGCGGCGCACGAACTGTGGCATCCAAGCTCTGCGCGAATCAGTCAGTTGCTGCGGGATGCTAAACTCAGTCCAGTTAAATAGGTGAAATAATTGATGGACAGCTGAGAAATTGCATGTGAAGCACAAAGAGACAGTTTGGCTGAGATATCAATGAACCCATAAAACACACACTAGCTGACATCAGGGTTTTTCCTGCATAGAGAAATTTTTGGCGCCCCCCCCAAAGAGCTTTTAGAGAGCGCCAAAGGAAAATCCTCAGCGCCAACATGATCAGAATCGGGGGAAAGAAACAGCCTTTCAAATCCTGGCTGATCAAACAACTGTTGAGCAAGCTGAGCATAAACTTAAACACAACGTCTTGACTTCTCTCATCCACAGCCGCTGTATTTTACACATGCAGCAGGCGCTGGATTAATAAACCAGCTGCTGCGTTGGTTTAACTCCGTCTGAACGCAGCGCTATGAAGCTCGCGCTAAGGATTTCCTGTTACTTCTCACAAGATAAAAGCCGTTTGTGCTTCAAGTGTCTGTATTCACCGGTACTGTTACATTGGCGTACCGGCACCGGTCCTCTCTTCTGCCCCCTCCAGATCGTGTTCTCTGGACACCACGTGACGCTCACCTGTTCCCGTTCTCGCCTGCATGCTGATCTCCGCAGGGAGATCGGGAGCCTTTCATGCAGCCGCGTGCGCTAGTTGCTCGTCAAAGTCACTTCTCGTTAACCAACCGATCACAGCCTGGAGGAGGCGGTTGGTAAGAACCGGTGGCTGGAACAACGAAATTTAAACCTATATTGTATTCAAACCAATATGTAGTTTAGCTTTTAATGTGAACTTACTGACCTGCACCATCCTTACCTTTTTTAACATTCAAAATACTCATAAAAAGTCTCTTTATTGATTTGTTGTTTGTCCGTTTAGGTGCAGGAAAACAAGCTGTAAACACAACAGCTGACCTGTTATGAAGTAGTTGATGCTAACATTTGATTACCCACAGTTCATAGCATTGTGTCTTGAAACACTAGGTGACGAGGGGAAGCTGGTGTTAAAAAGAAATTTACATAATCTGTGTAATTCAGAAAAATATCACGATGACTCTGTGGCTTTTGGCTGCTGTGTTTCCAGTCTGGGGTCGGCAGAGCCGGACGATCTGTTTGCGGACGAAGCGGTGGAGAACTTTCAGGACCAGACGGGAGGAAAGACTCAGTCTGCACAGCTGGATGTCGTCGACACATTGACCGGAGGGGACGGCAAGAGTTCTCGCTCAGAGGCTAACCTCAACGGTAGCTCACCCAACACTTTAAAGACACAAACACACTCTGTAAATATATATATTTTATGGTTTGTTTTAGGTAACACAGGCGGAGTTAGTCTATGGGAGAGAAGTTGAATCAGTTCCAGATAACAAACAAGAAAACATTTAACCATCCTGTAGAAGTTGATATTAGTATGCAGAGCTCAGAGCTCAGATTATTAAACCTGTCTGTGGGATTTGTAGGTTTGAGAGTTCCAGGGTGTTTTTTTTTTTTTTTCTCCATGATTTTGAATTTGCATCATTTAAAAGATCAGTCTGGTGATATTTTGTAGTCCTGTGTTTGTCTCGCAGACTGATGTCTCCTCTGAGCCATGGAGATCTGCTGTTGTCCAGAAACTTTTAAAACCCATCAGTGATGTAGTTTATTCTGACTCAGTCCCACAAACACTGTCCTGCTGCCCCAAATACCCACTAGAGCACCACATGAAAATAATCCCCAGCAGATGCACTATTTCCTCCTGGTTGCCTGATAGAAACTACAGCGAGCATAAATTTCATGAAACTATAGTTTTTAAACATTTACGTCCTCAAGGGGAACCAACAGGCTGAGAGCTGAGAGCCACAGACAGGAAGTCAGACAGGACTAAGAGACGGACTGACATGTTTGACAATAAGATGAGTTTGACAGGATGAGTCTTGTGTTAAATTAACTAACCTCTGGTCTCTTACAGATCCAAACATCCTGTCAAAGCCGGAGCTGGCCAGCATTGTCTCCAGAGGTAAAAACTGAACCGCTCTGATTCACGTTGCACGTCATTTCAGTTTTCACTTTCAGTTTTTACTTTACCGGGGAGTATTCCCGCTTTACTGGGGAGTATTCCCGCTTTACAGTGGAGTGGAGTATTCCCACTTTACTCTGAGGATACTAGACAATACTACAAAGTACAGTGAGAACACTGGATTAATAAAAATAAAAACCTGCATTTTTACATTTATTTTGATTGGTTTCCAAAGTGGGAGGCCGGCCTCCTCCTGGCGGCTGCAGAGAGTTTCAGGGGAGGATCAGTGAATTGAAGTGGGGAAAAACATTAGTCATCAGTAGGAGGTCACATAGAACAACAGTTCACAAACCTTTTAGGTAGCGCACCCCCTTCTACATCCTGCCCGGGTTGATGCACCTCAATCCCCCACACCTTTTTAAAGAGGTGGTGTTCTGCTCATTTTCAGGTTCAAAATCTCAATTAGAGGTTGTACCAGAACAGGTTTACGTGGTTTAATATTTTCCTCATACAGCACATTGCTGCAGCTCCTCTTTTCACCCTGTGTGCTGTACGCTCCGCTCTTGAGCTACAGAGTCGCACATAGCAGATGGTATAAGTTACTCTGACGTCCACAACATCATTGTTCCACATCTGACCATCAGGACTAAACGTTGAACTGTTGCCGGTGTTCTGACGATCTGTGCTGCCTTGCCGAAAAATGCTAACACAGTGCAAATCGATAGACTGACTCTACTCGGCTCTGCTCCGTTTTCCACTGCAGACAGTACCCAGAGATACGTAGCTGGTCGTCATAGCGACGCCGCACACAACGGCCGCCATCACTTCTCCTAAAACTGTCAATATATAAAATCTGCACAGCTGATTTCACCTCAGAACTTCTCAGAAGTGGATTTAGTGATGAAAACTGTAAAATATAAAACTTCCTGTTGCCTCTGTCTGGTGCAGCAATGATGATGCAGTGAATAGTGAATATTCTCTCTGACCAATCAGCAGTCTGTCCTGTTTTCACGTTACATTTTAGTTTCCCTCAGCTCGACTGGAACCTCGACAGAAGTGAGGTGATACGAAAAGAAAGTACCTGTTAGCAGGTACAGGTGCAACATTTCTACAATGGAAACCCAAACAAAGGCGAGTGGAGCCAAAGGGCCTCCGCTCAGACTAGCTTGGTTTGAGGGCGTGCCTGACCCCGCCAGCCGCTCGGCGAGCTTTATGACGTGTTTTCATTGTGAAGTCGCAAGTAAAGGAAGTGAAGGGCTGGACTACCTCAACAAATATAATTTAAGACCCCAGAAGTGTTGAAACACTTCCTTTAATAGAAAAGAGATCTTTAACTGTACAAATGATACGAACATGACTCAATGACCCTCTAAGACTTTTCTGCAGCTCATGTGAAACGGTCCAGCATCATAGTCTTCATCAGGGTCCTCATCAAACACATTGCAGAGAAGATTTAAATAAGATGGGTATCGAGCAAAAAAGGTTTGTATGGTTAAAAAATAAATATAAAAGACAACCAGTCACACATGCTGCTAACGACTAATGTGCCGTGTCTGGCAGAAGTCGCTGGACCTAAACGTAGCTGTTCCAAAGCTTTTTATGTGATCTCACTATTCAAATGATTCTGATGGCAGAACAATGAGACGCTCCTGGTGAAAATGTGTCCAGTCCGTGTTTTGCTTTCAGCCCACTTCCTCTCAGTGCCTCTGGGTCGGATCCACCACTCAGTCCTCTGATAGGATCACTGCAGAAGTATTCACATCCTGGCAGCTGTTTTCCCAGACACAAGGAAAACCGAACGTTGGCAGGCATTATGTTGATCTATCTGCATCACGGGATGAAGAAAGTTCTCGTTGCACTTTTTATGTAGAGCAGGTCTAGACCGTTTCCTTTGTGATCTTATTCAGAGACCCAACAAATCCCACCTTGAGTAAGCACTTGGTGGCACAGGCAAGGAAAAACTCCCTTTAACTGGTAGAAACCTTGAGCAGACCCTCGACTCAGGGTGGGCGGCCAGGAGAGAGCAGCTCATGCATCATGGGAGGTTGAAACGAGCCTATAAAGCAGCTGCTGAGTGACGTACTCCGTGTAACGCCTTCATCTCTGTGTCCTGTCTCCATCCAGACGCCTGTTTCCTCCGCCCGATCACCGGCGGCTGCCAGAACTACACCGTAATGTGGTTCTTTGACAAAGATCAGGGTAAATGCTCCCGCTTCTGGTACGGCGGCTGCGGCGGCAACGAAAACCGCTTCGAGACGCTGAGGGCTTGCAGGAACCTCTGTGACACGGAGAGTCGAGGAGGCGTCGGCGGTATGAAGGTGCAACAGGAAAATCTGTGATAACGGATGGAAATCTACCACGCCGATTTACAAAGTATTAAAAAGCCTTTGCTCACAGGGACACACGAGGGAAAGTCTAATCAGCTGTGAAACTCAGCAGCTGCTGATTAAATGCTGTCACCGAGTCGCTTTGTTGTTTTTGTCAAACATGCATGTCCCCCCCCCTCTTGGACATTGATTCCACCTTTTACCGTGTCTGACGCACAACAGGGACTTGAGCTTCTTTCGGGATATTTTTTGATTTTGATCAGGTGCTATTTTTTTTGACAGAAGATCCACAACCACTGGTTAAAAAAAACCAACACTTTTTTTTGAGCAGCTGAATGAATATCATTGCAATGCAGGTCACGTGGTTCATCTGGATTTTTGTAGCATTTCTACAGCAACAAACTTTTCTATATTTTGTACCAGTTTCTGATTAAAAAATTCAGATGACACCAAAATTCAAGCTTTGTCCATCAATATACAGATTATTTATCCCTAAACACTGAGCACAAAACAACATTTGAGTGACATCTCAAGGCCCAAAACTCAAAAAAGTATTCAAAAAATCCACGGCCTTCTCCCGTCATTAAAGCCAATCAGAGGCTGACGTTGATCCCCTGCGTGTGTGTGTGTGTGTGTGTGTGTGTGTGTGTGTGTGTGTGGTTGGAGATTTGTCAGTATGGCTGGTCACCACTGCAAAGTAGGCACTAATGAAATAAATCAGTTGGCAATTTAAGACAACAACGTACAGTAGATTTAGCCTTTAATATACAGCTTGCAGCAGAACCAGTCAGTACCGTCTGTCTGCCACAAGATGGAGTCCATTCATTTGATTAGAAATGTTGACACCTGAGAGCAGACCGCTGCGGGTGTCCTCTCACTGGAAGCCTGTCTGCAGGTGCCTGTGGCAGCAAAATGGGACAAATATTAATATTACGTATAGTGGAATAATGAGATTATTTAGAAGTTAGAGAGGTGGGAGCTGAGCGTAGTATTCCCTCTGTACTTAAGTTTAAATTAAGTTTAATTTTGAGATCCTTTATACTCTCCAACAATTCAAAGGGGAAAAATTGTACTTATTACTCCTACTACATTTGTCTGAAACTAGTTTCCAGATTGATTTTACATACAAGACACAGAATTAATTTATAAAGTATGACACGTTGTTGTAGATCTACAGGTTTTCAAAGTGGGAGGTGGGCCTACGATTAACCTACGTGTGTTATTTGGTTAAAGAGAGAGTTCAGAGATACAGTAGTTTCAGGGGATTTAACTCTTCTCCTTTTATCAGATTAAGAAACTAATAAATGCCTGAGGACAGACCTTTTTTATGTATTTGGCGTAGTCTGAAGTTATGTCAAACAGCAATATTAGGCTTTCTTGGCTCAACTGTTGAGTGTATGTGACTAAATAACATGACCACGAATTGAGCAAACTAGGCAAGCAAACTAAGGGCAGATGAGTGGACGCACAGTCTCAGACTTTCAAACAATCAGTGTCTAATGTGAAAATTAACTCCAGTGTCTAACTGAAAATGATCTCAACCAGCTGTAATATTAAAATACTGCTTTTGTACCAGTGCATCAGTAACATTATGAGAGGGAATATCTGGTGGAGGAACGGGGTTCATTCCTAACTTATAAAGTTAGTTAAAAAATGAGAGGCGCGTGTAAAGACTTTTAACAAATAATCAGTTGTTTGTTTCTCACTTGTACCATCCACATTAGTTAAGAGGCTGGAGAACTGAGAAAAATACATTTTATTGAACTTCTACTGGATGTATGCCGACTTATAGAAAGGGCCATAATGAAGAAATACACATTTAAAGAAATGTTCTGCCACGTGTGTAGCTTCACTGCAGAGACAGACAAAATTAAACAGATGTTTTTTAAATAAGGATTGGTGAAAGAACGCTGCTGGCTACATTTGCCAGTTTTGCTAACTTACACTACAAACCCAGCTTGTTTTTGATCAACGGTTTAAATTTATTTATGTCAGAGTCGACCAAATGTGCTTTCCGAACAAGTGGGATCTGATTTTGGAGGAAGTTTTTATTGTTTGCCATTTAAAATGTGTAAGTTTGGTGTTTACAGGCTGATACCAATGTTTTTGATAAAGTTTCTAAATTACGGTGAGGGGGAAAAAACTATTTGATCCCTTGCTGATTTTCTGTTTGCCCACTGAGAAAGAAATGATCAGTCTATAATTTTAATGGCAGGTTTATTTGAACAGTGAGAGACAGAATAACAACAAAAAAAGTCTCAGAAACGCATGTCAAAAATGTTATAAATTGATTTGCATTTTAATGAGTGAAATAAGTATTTGACCCCTCTGCAAAACATGACTTAGTACTTATTGTAATTTTTGTAGTTGGCCAGCAGGTTTGCACACATCTCAGGAGGGATGTTTTCCCACTCCTCTTTGCAGATCTTCTCTAAATCATTAAGGTATTGAGGCTGACGTTTTTTTCAGTTATTTCATTGAAATTATGAGCATTTTAGCAGATGGTCCCCCTTCGTCCCAGAGAAAACGAGGTTCATCAGTCGCTGCCTCGTGGGACACATGGAACAAGAGTAATGTACTAAAACATCTTGTCTTTATAGTAGAGTACAAATAATTGTTTATGAATTTGTGTGAGACTCACTGTTTTGTTTTACTGTGTTACAGCTGTGGGAATAGGGAAAAGTGTCCTGTGAGCTCAAGCTGTGATCACATGATCTGGAGTACTCACCAGGACCACTACTGCTGCAAAACTGCACCTGCACTGAGAGCCAATGGGAGGGGCCGTAAGGTGCCCAGGAAGGGCAGGTAGGTCATGTTCATTAGTTTCTTTGGGTAGGGAGGAAAATATTCAAAAGACTGCTGACGAAAAATAACTCGCTACGTCCATTTAAACTCTCTGAACATGGTTTCTATGTTGATCTTATTAAAGTTCAGAGTCCTGTTTCTCCTCCTGAGGAAAAGGTACAAGGTAAATGTAGTTGTCATGTTACACTTTGTAGTTCCCTTTATGCTACAAAGCAAAGGTTGTACAGGTCCATCTCAGAAAATGTCAGTATCATAGAAAAGTTTCTTTCATGTTTTAAACTTGATGATTATGACTTAAAGCTCATAGAAATCCATATGTAAAACTATTAGAATAAAGAAAGTATAATATAGGAATGTCGACCTTCTGAAAAGTTGGTCGGGGCTCCTTTGTTTGAATAATGCGTTGTGGCACGGAGGCACTCAGCCTGTGGACCTGCTGAGGTGTTGTGGAAGCCCAGGATACTTTGATAGCGGACTTCCGCTCGTCTGTGTTGTTGGTCTGGTGTCTCTCACTTTCCTTTTGACAATACCTCTGACAGGTCAGGACAGTTAGAAATAAACTATTTTGCATGGTGCAGTGCTGAGGATGAATTTAAGTTTCTCACAGCTCGGGGGAAGAAGCTGCTCTTCAGTCTGGCTGTAATCTCCTCTGTATCTGTTACCAGACGGCAGCAGGGTGAACAGGCTGTGGCCCTCTGAAAGGAGGATCGGCTGAGAAGGTTGGAAACAGTTAAGGTTTTCTTGAGAAGTAAGCGGGAACAGTACAGACTGACCTCCACTCACAGAGAGCGGCTGATGGTGCTGACAAGGCCCAACAACTGGAGGGAAATGGACATTGTTGCAGTATCAGTTTAACTGTTACTGAGAGTAGAATAAGCTTCAGCTAATAAAAACCAACATTACAAGCAACCAGCAATAAAAAGTCAAAGAAGCCTGAGTGGAGAGCTGCAGCAGCGCTAACAAGACCAATGTGGTTTTGTGGTTAATGCAAGCGGTGACTGGGAGTTGGGTTATTATGGAGTCTCATTTCCAACCCTTTGACTTCAGGTCTTCTCAGTGCTCGGTGACCTTCATCCTCTTCCTCCTCGCTCCTCTTGCCCTTCATGTCTCTAAAGTGAAAGGAGTCTGTCCTAGAGCGGCGTCTCTGGGACTCGTCTCATTTATAGCCATGATTGGTTTCCCTTCAGTATAAAAGGTGAACGTCAGCTCACCTGTGTTTAGTACCTGAGGCGTTGCTACTGTTGGCGTTAGCTGGATCTGGGAGAGCGCGACACGTTGAACACGGTGAAGCGTTCCTTCAGATTCACGCCGTGTTGAAGGAAACACTTTGTCATGTTGGAGCTGCTTCCTCCCTCGCACCAAACCTCCTTGTTTGTTAGTGAAGCTGAGCCAAACTTTGGAGCGTTTGCTGCGGTCCGCCACGGTCCAGGACCGGAACCAGAAGGACTCTTCTTCATGCTTTGTTGACATAACACATGAGGTGACGTTAGGACAGCGTGGCAGATCAGAGACACTTTGTTGGACGCAGGGTCTTATCCAATCCACGGTTCTTGGAACCAGTTCTCGATACCCAACCCTAACTGGGAGTCCTGCAGCAGGTACCTACAGAGTTACTAAACCAGAGACCGCCAATGTGCAACTGCTGTTTACTTGTTTCATTCATCCGTATAGAGCAGCGGGCGGAAGGTCTGCAGCGAAATGGTTTCACTAGATGTGTGTTGCTGAGAGTCTTTAACTTATGTATTGTTGTCTTCGCTCTCAACAGTCTCCATCGGCATTAGACACTTGTAGATAGAAAAAAATAAGAAGCCTCTCACAGGTCTTGCAGCCCCCACATGGTTTCTCTGTATCTGCCAAACCCCCGACGTGTAGTTACAATTTTCTCTGCTGCGAGGACAACTGTGTCCACTCTCCGCCTAGTAAATGTGTAGCATGACAAACGTTTTGACAAAAGTTTAAATATTTTATTGGTATGCATGATCTGAGCAGCTGAGCTCTAGCAGGTGACCCTGTGGGCTGTGTTGCCACGCCAGTAAAAGAGACAGGCGTCTAATTAGGACTCTGCTATTAATTGATGTTTTACAGTATGTTGATGTGGAAGCCAGACAGAAAAAAGATAAAAATGTTTAATAGTCACAGTCAGCCACTAGTGAAACCAGCCATCTGTAATGTTCAGCTTTAAGCTGCCAAAACACACAATGAAGTACTTTAACATCATAAAATCTGCAGCTTATTGCCTGATTCAGTTTGACTGGGAGTGAGAACAGCAAGTGAAAAGATTTATTTCAAACAGTTTAGGGATTATTTTTAGTCCATTGACCACCAATAACTTCTTATTACCACTAAGTGTTTTCCAAAGCTAGTTTCTTTTTTTTCTGCTTTCGCTTTATTTCTATAAAAGTCACCTTGCAGGGAACCTTTCTGCACAGAAAATCTATGGTGATGAAATCAGACAGCAGCAGGATGTGTGATTGTAAAGAGAGGTAACGATGTGACGAGAGAGCAGGACACCCTAAAAACAAAGTTAAATATTTCTTCAACACGTTTTAAATAAACTGAGGAACACTCCAGCGTGGTGGTCGGTGTATTAGTGTCCCTCGGGATCAATAGCGGCAGCCATCATTTAGCTTGTAAACTTCACAGCTGCAGC